GAGGTGAACTTGCGGCCTAATGTACCATAGTCACGGGGCAGCAGAGTCAGAGTACGGTGGCCCCTCAGTCCTGGTGTGTCAACAACAAGAAGATGCAGGATGCTGCTGGTGACGGAGAGCCTCGGTGATTGCGCACAGCGCGTCCTGCCCAGGCGGTCAGGCTGACCTGGTTTGCAGACAGGCCTGGGAGTGCCGGGGTTAAGGAGGCCCCGGGTCCTTTGGAGAAGGGCAGTCTCAAACTACTTCTTGTAGCTCCACAGTCCAGCCTAACACACCGGACTGGTCACTCCACCCGACAAGCTAGTGATGGCAAGTCAGACAAGCTAGTGATGGCAAGTCAGGAGAGCGATCCAGCCCGTCCACTGATGGAGCAGGATGGGAACACCTCTGCCCAGGGGCCTGCAAGGATGTTACTAGTTCAAGGGTCTTCTTATAGAATGAGTCAGCAAAGTGGCTTCCTATATGAGGGGGACTTAACCCAGTTCCCATCACACGTGGACATCACAATGGCCCTTTCCACGTCGGCTGCCCCAAGTAGATGGTCTTCCGGGGGTCAGCCCCCAGCTGCCGAGCTCAAGGGTCTGGGGCCAGCACCCCTCTCTCCACACCTTGCCTGTCACCTGTCCTTCCCAGCACATGGGGCCCACACTCGTATTCATGCTGAGGCGAAGGGGTTACTAGTTCCAGATTTTTGTATCTTAGGATCGTTCCACGTTTATTACTTAACAGCACTTTGTTAAGTTATTACTTTGTTATTACTTAACAAGCACTTTGCTAGGAAATGAAAAGCATGATTCCACAAAACGAGGTTTAAAAAATAGGTCAGAGCAAGCAGAATCTGGGGACGTTCCAAAACGCCAGCCACCGCCCCCAGTGACTGCTTACTCTAACAGGTCGGGGTTCTGGGTCCCTCAGCCCGCCCCCACCCACCCCCCGCCTCTCACAGGAAGTTCGATCTTGCCTCCCCAGCACACACCCAGGGCCTCCGAGCATCCAGCAAACTTCAACGCTATGGGATATGGCGGGCGTGAATTTTCCTCCTAGCTCAGACGGAACCAATCTTTCAGTTCAAACTCTCTCCCTCCTTTCAGGCAAAAAAAAAAAAGAAAAAAAGGTCAGGCCAGCATTCCAGGCCGCTGCCAGCTCCGTCCCTAGTTACACTCCCCAATCTCCACACACGAGAATTATCAGGAAACCAGCCAGCAGTTTAGGTCTGGAAATTAACGTCACCCGAACACACACCACAACGGGAAGTGAACTTCTGAGCCTGGGTCTTACCAGCGGGGTTCCTTTTACCCTCCTTGGTTCCCCAGAAATACTCATAAAAGCATCCCCCCAACTCTAGACGTGCATAAATACCAGACGGCTATGGAGGGTGTGGGCGTCACACAGGCAGGATGGAGGGGACCAAACCACGGGCCCCAGACAGGCGCCTGTTTCTTTCACTGTTTTCCTCCAGATTCGTCAACTTTCCTCAGCCCAGGCCCTCAGCCAGTCAGTGGCCAGTTCATAATAAGAAGTAAAAACTCACACCCTTCCCACTCAAGCCCAAACTGATTTAAAACAAGAAAGTTAGTCGACCAGAGATGAACCGGGGTAGAATTTGCCAGTACATGGCAGACACTGGTAACTGGTTGGTTCCCAGCATCACCTGTGAGATGAGAACCGTTTTGTTAAGGTCGCAGGCTCATCTGCTAGAGAGGGGTGTCTCTATTCCGGGCTGCCTCTCCCACGCACCTCCACCTGGCTTCCATTTCTCAATTTAGAAAGGACATTGTCACAAGCCTCTGAAATCAAGAACCTGTTTCAAAGCGGGGTTTCTCAACCTCAGCACTGCTGACATTTGGGACCAGGAAATTCTTTGTTGTGGGGAGGGCTGTCCTGTGCATTGTAGGATGTTTAGCAACCACCCCTGGCCTCCACCCACTCGATGCCAGTAGCATCCTCTCCCCAGGTTATGACAACCAAAAACCGTCTCAGACATTGCCAAATGTCCCGGGGGCGGGGGTGCAGGGGGTGGAGAGGACAGAGGGAAAGGTTAGTAAGCCCTGGTGGAGAGGCACTGACTCAAGATTACACCTTCTTAAAAATACCAGGGGCCAGGACACTCTGGGGTTCTCCTAAGGGCTTAGAGGGGGGGCTTGGGGTCCGTATGCTGCATTTTACGTATGCATCCATCTGTGTACACCTGGGTATGTGTGTTTTGAAAACTAGGAGAAGCAGGCAGCTACCACAAGAATGGCCCAGGAGAGATTTTTTCTTGTTGTTTTGTTTTGGTGTAATTAGCCTCACTTTTCTCAAACCTTAAAGCAGAGTTTCTCAACCTCGGAACTACTAGCACTGCGGGCCAGGTAATCTGTGGTTCTGGGGGGGCTGCCCTGTGCACTGAAGGATGCTGAGCAGTGCCCCTGGCTGCCACCCACTAGATACCAGTAGCAATCCACCAAGTTGTGACAAGCAAAATGTCTCCAGATACTGCCACTGTCCCCTGGAAGGCAGAACTGGCCCTGGTTGAGAACTGCTGTTCTACAGGACAATAAACGTCCCCAAGTCCTTTTGTGGGAAAAGGGGAGTGCATTGACGCTCAGGCCAGAGGAGAGACCAGTTGAGACCAACTGGTTTAAAGCACATTGCCTGTTCACATGGTGGAAACTCAACACATACTAATTATTAGTACATAACGAGATATGTTACTCTTGAACAGATGACTCTATTCCGAGGGCGCAGAAGAGGATGTAAGAGCTGTTCCTAAGAACGAGAAAAGAAACACACACAGAGATGGACACGTCCAGATAAACAAGGGAGCTGCTGGATGCCCGTGGAAACTGTTGCAGAAGAGAAGGGAACACAGCCAGGGTGAGTCTTGAGAGAACTACTCAACACAAGAGTTGATGAGGAGGCCGAGACGACCGCTCTCAGAGAAGGATGTGGCCATCACAGCAATTCTCTGGGGCTGGGCCTCAGAATGTGGAGATAAGAAATTGATCTGAACCACCAGCTTACACTGCGCTGTGCTTTCCAGGTTTCAAGGCGCTTTTCACAGATCTGAATGCGGGCCATCCTGGTTCCCCGAGAGAGAACGCTCTGGCAGCTGGCCTGAGAGACCCGGCTGGTTCCTTTAGCTGGGTGTGCCTGCTGGGGACGGTGTGGGCCACCAGCATGGGGCCTGATAGCTGGGGTGGGGAGGGGAGGGCTTCCAGAGACCCGTCTACAGGAGGGTACAAGTGGTCCAGGAATTCTTCCAAGACCTACGGGGACATTGTTCCTGCAGGCCGGACTACACAGGGGCCAAGACAGTGAGCAGCACCAAGGCACTCCAGCCAACCACGTGGGGGTCTGAAGCCTGCTGGGCAGAGGCTAACCCAGGGCCAGGTCACTGAATTCCATCCTGCTGGGGCAAAGGGCTGTACCTTCAGCAACAATCCTAAATGCCTCTGGATTACGTCCCTCTTCCTTCAGGGTTTAGCCACCATCTGGGTTCTAGATATAGACCCAAATATCTTTAGCCCTAGACAACCAAGAGGGTCGTTACTTTTTCCCTTAAGGGCCGAAGGACACCAGCTGTGTGTTGCTGGGGACTTACTTCTCTTCCCTCCCACTGGATCGCTCCAAATTGTGGGTAGAGTTTGGCTTGCCAACACGGCCCAAAGAACTCTGAAAATCATCGCTCGTTCCTCCGTGGAGTGTATCCACACAAACTCCACACCTACAGTTCTTAACCTGGGACGCAGGGACCAACAGGGTTCAAGGAATCTGGGGCTTCTAGGATCTGAAATTATAAACCAAATTTTGCATCTGCCTGGTTTTCTGGAGAGTGGAGCCACAGCGTTCGCCAGATTCATGAGCCACTGGGCCCGAATCTTCCAAAACACCTATACTCTCTGTCACACATAAAATGCAGATATTCTTGGATTCAGCATTCCACTTCTGGGAATTTCTCTTATAAATCCAATCCCACCTGTGAGCAAAGATATTCACTGCAGTGTTGTTTGTAGCAGAAAACTGCTGGAAACAACTTAAACATCCATTGATGGACCGGTTAAATACATTATGATACACATCCATCGATAAACCAACTAGGTAAATAAATTATGATACACTTGGTGAAATGTAATACCACGTACTCATTAAAAAGATCCCAGAAGCTCTAGGAGCATGCTTTAGTCCAGTAGTTCCGGGGGAGGGGGCGGGGGGAGGGAGGGGGTTCCCCCAGGGAAATCTGGCAGCCACTGAGACATTTGTGGGTGTCACGGCTAAGGGTGCTCCCAGCATCGAGCGGGTGGGGGCCAGAGATGCTGCTCAACCCCCCACAGTGCCCAGGACGTCCCCCCACGGAGAATGACCCCAGGTGGAGAATTCCAGCTCTACTGTGATCTCCGAGACACATTTAACGAAAAACACAAAGTCCACAGGACGGTGTCGACTCTGCTACCACTATATGTGTGTTTTTAAAGGAGGGGTGTACACGTATCCTTGAAAAGAGACCTAAGTCGCCGGTGACAGTCCTGATCGTGGGGAGAGGAACTGGAGTGGGAAACTGACTTTTCACTCTAACCTTTCAACTTTGCACCAGGTCCATCGAAAGGGTATTTTTTGCCTTTTGTTTTAAAGAACTGCTTTAGACACAAATGTTCCCTTCCTCTGCGCTCTCTGGCAAGAGTTCTGTGTCGACAGCCTCGGGACTGTTCTTCCCCTTCTCTCCCTCCCTACCCCTGCCCTGTTAGAGGGGAGGAAAGGAGGAGAGGGATCACCGCCCTGGGTCACCCCCTGGGTGCATCTCTGCTCCTCCCAGGGGTCTGCCCACCCCTCCCGAGGAGGCTGGAGCACACAGGGCGGCCAGGGCCCGAGCCACCTCGCCCGCAGCCCCTGCCCCTCCTGGGCTCTCCCCACCCCGCGGGGGACACGTGCCAACGCAGCCCCCTCGGCCGCCTCCCGAGCCAGGGCCGGGCCTGGTCCCCCACTCCGGGCCGCCCGGGGCCCCCGCCTCGGCCTCCGCTCACCTGGCTCGCCTTGTAGAACTGCTTCTTCAGCCCCGCCACCGACATGCTGCCTCCCGCCGTCGGGCCTCCCGCCCGGACCCCGCGAAGCGGAGGGACCGCTCAAGCGACAGGCTTCCGGGCGCCGCCAACCCCCCGCGCACCTCCGCGGCCACGGTCAGCGCCGCCTCCGCCGCCCTCTCGCCAGCTCCGCGCCCGCCCCGGCGCCGCCTCAGCCACTCGCGCGCCCGCGCGGCCAGGATATTACATGGCAACTGCACACTTCCGGTGCCGGCCCGCGCGCGCCCCCGGCCCCGTCTGCGCACGCGCGCCCCCTGCCGGCCGGAGAGCGCACGCGCACTTCGCCTGCCGTCGGGAGCGGGGAGGGGGGCCGCCCCCGCCAGCGAGTGGACCCGGCGAGCCTAGAGGGGCTGTGGCGGCTGCATCGACCTCTGGAGTCCCGGAGGTGGCCCCAACGTGTTAGGAAAGGCGCTTAAACCTTTCTGGAGAGGTTGGGAGGCTGTGCTTACAAGTCTCCAAACACCTGTCTGCTAATCTCAGCTGTACCCAATTCCTCTATGCTATTTTTTTCTTTAGTCCCTCCCACCTACCGGCAACCCCGCCCCGTGTTCATCCATTCAGTTTCCCAAGTCAGACATCAGGGTGTCGCTTCTACCTCCTTTCCACTGCCTCCATTGACCTCCCTGCCCTAAGCAGACCATTCCACCAGCCTCCTCTCTGGTGTGCCCACCTTTAGATTCTCCCCTCCGATTCACCCCCTACAAGGCAGCCAGAAGGATGCTTCTATAACAATTCAGATCACATTAGTCTCCTGTTTTTAAAGTCCACCTACTGCCTTCAGAATACATTCCCAACTTCCTAACACAGCCTACAAACTTTACATAACTTGGCCTTGTCAACCCTTCTGACTTTGGCTCTCTTCATCTTCTATAATCCGTGATCCCTGAGCCTATGGGCCTTTGCTAACGTTGTTCTTCTCTTGCACAGTCTTCCCCAATCTTTCGCTCCATCCTTTGCACATAGAAGAGGACTCTGCTTGGAATATCACCCCCTCTAGGAAGACTTCCCAGATTGATGCATGCTTACCGATCTTGATTTTTTAATCAATTGTTATTGTATTGAATGAATTGGAAATTAACAATGAATTGGAATGAGTATGTGAACCCAAAAAGAGGAACAAGAAAGTGACTAGAGCTAAGGGGCTTGCAACTTCAGTGCTGAAATCTCTGACATTTGGGTGATTGCCTGAAGCGGAAGTTTGCTGGAAGTTTCCAAATGCCTCAACAGAAGGTCCTGGACTAGATCAGAGGATTGTTTCGGCATATGCATGCCCTAGCCTCCCTCTCAAAGATCCTGATGGGGCCATTACAAATAGTTTGAAAAAATTCTCCATGTGATTCTGATGGTCACTGGTCTAAACCATTGCAGAACGCCAGAATGTCAGAGAAGGGAGGGAAAACACCCTCATGGTTCGTACGGGGAAACTGAGGCCTTGAGTAAGACGTGACTTGCACAAAGTCTTGCCCACATTCCCTATTTCTTCACATTACTTCCAACCAATTCTACTGATTTAACTATCTGATCTATACAATCAATAGAATTCTAAACTTGGGCTAAATTTCGGTCTTCTCACTTCTGCTCTGCTGGATTAAATTGCTGCTGGAGAAAACCTACTCTGAAGGTCTCTGTTCTGTGTGAGCCTTTTAACCTATATGATCACAAAGTCCAATCAAATGATATTTATGCAATCACTCAAATATTTATTGTCCCCTACTAATGTATCAGTCACTGACAGGTCTCAGGGATACAGTGATGAATGACTCCTGCCCTCATGGAGCTAATGACAAAAACAGAAATTACGGCATGAATCAAATAACACGGTAATAAATAAACATAAGCTGTAATTTCTTCGAGAAAAAGAACAGCGTTGTAGGAACTTCATTTTGTTGGGGGTAATGGAGGAAAGGTTTCTCCGAGGTCTAACTTTAAGATCTGAAAGTTAGGTAGAAATTAGCCAAGAAAAGAGCTTCGGAAAGAGTTTTCCAGGCAAGGAAACAGTATATAAAAATCCTGAGGATTAAATCGGAAACATTCATTTCATTCATTCCCCCTGAATATATTTACCGCATGTCAAATACTTCTGAAGCGATGCCTAGAGTTTATTTGTATTGTCATATAAAAGCAATTTACAATTTTAATTGCTGTTGGTGTATTCAGCCGACGTCCAATTAGGATAAACTCAAAACTTCAGGCTTCCTCTAAATCGCAGCTTCAGGTTGTCACCCGTCGCCCTACGTAAAACGTCTCGTCATGACGTAAGAGCCTGGCCCTCCCTCTTCCTACCGACCTATCCCACGCGCTCAGCCAATCACAGTGTCGAACTCTCAGTTTGACACCTACTTCCCCCAATCGCAGGGCGCCTCCTCTTCGCCAATGACAGGCAGCCAAGAGGAAGCCCCGTCCCTCCGCGGGAATATCAATAGGGGAGCCATGGGAGGAATGGAAGCCTCGGCTCTCGCGAGGATGCTCCCGGAGCTCCCCAGTTCCCGAGGCGGGCCGTCACGTGATGCGGCCTCGCCCAATCGGCGCGCGGGCTGCGGGGGTCGCCGCGGTTCCCGCCAAATACGAGCGCGGCGGCCGCGGCAGCAGCGGTGCGGGCGGGAGGGCGAGCAGCAGCGGCCGCCTGAGCGGAGCCTGCGCCTCCGCCGCCTGAGGGGAGCTCGAGCCGCCGCCGGAGAGATGCTGGAGGAGCCGGAGTGCGGGGCGCCGGGCGCCAGGGCAGCGGCGGCAGGTCGGTTCGGGCCCGCGGTGAGGGGAAGGGGGGGCGCGGCGCGCGGCCTCTGCGGGCCGAGGCGGCGGTTGAGGGCGGACGGGCCTCCGGGCCCCGGGCCCGCGCCACCGCGCCGGGCGTTCGGGCCGTGGGGCCGTGCAATCGCGGGGAAGGGCCTTGCGACCCGGAGGGCGCGCTCCTTGACGTTATTGTTGTGGCCGCGACCATTTCTTTCCGGCGCTTTTGCGGCAGTACGTCCTTGCAGGGCCCTGTGCGGTGATGGGTCGGTGGGGGCCGGGAGGGGAAACTGAGGCCCGAGGAGGCGAAGGGGCTGGCTTGGCAGGTAACCGAGTGCGTTTGGGTCCCCTGAGCAAGTTGGGCCCCGCAGCGACCCTCAGGCCGGGTGGGGAAACTGAGGCCTGGGCTCACACGGGCCCGGGGACCCAAGGGCTGGGTCTGCGGGTCAGGGCAGGCCGAGGGAAGAGGCTGGGTGGGGGGATCGTCAGGGAGCCGGGACTCCCGGGTTCTTGATCCTCCCGGTATGCAAGGTGACCTGTTCTCCTCCCTGTGGCTTGGGAGGGGGCTTCCTAGCAGCCAGCAGGCCCCGAAAACGTGGGAGGCGAACCAAGGAAGGCCTGACTGCCCCTCTCCCCTGCTTGACTCCCATTTTGTCCCCAGCCCTTGGCACAATGCTTGGCACACAGTAGGTGGCCGAAAAAGATGTGTTGGTGGAATGAATTAAGGGGTGGCAGGGACATCAATTAGTCTAGTCCAGGGGTTCTCACCCTCAGCACTGTTGACATTTGGGGCCGTCCTGCGCACTGTAGGGTGGCCTGGAGCAGCATACCTGGCCTCCATCCATTAGATCCCCGTAGCAACCCCTCTTGCCCAGTTGTGACAACCCAAAGGTCCAGGCATTGCCAAGGGGCCCCTGGGAGGCAGAGTCACCTGCTAGTTGAGAACCACTGCTCTAATTGTTTCCAGATTTGGGGATTTCACAGAGACGTAAAATTCACGTAAAGAAAGTTGGGACTGATTGTCAGAGACAGTCATTTGACCCAGTGAGGATGTTTAATTTATTTATTTTTTTTACTTTATTTTTTTTACCCCCAAAGCCCCAGTAGATAGTTGTATGTCATAGTTGCACATCCCTCTAGTTGCTGTATGTGGGACGCGGCCTCAGCATGGCCAAGCGGTGCATCGGTGCGTGCCCGGGATCCGAACCCCGGGCCGCCAGCAGCAGAGCGTGGGCACTTAACCGCTAAGCCATGGGGCCGGCCCCAGAATGTTTAATTTAAAAAGCACCACTTGCTATGAGCATACTATCATGAAAGGGAAGAATGTTTTAAAGCCAAAGAAAAATTAGGAGGGCGGTATCTCAGAATTAAGGGCAGTGGTAAGTTTATACACCAGTGATTGTTAATTGTATGTGTACTTCTGAACAGTCTGGATCCCTCGGTGGAGTCCCTTTTTATGTCGACCCGAGGCTGTTTCTGGGCCTAGGTTACTTCTCTCCCACTTGCATCAAAGCTAGTGTTTCAGCGCCACACCAAAAAGATCCTTGTGGCCGTCCTAAAAATAAATTTAAGTGGCTAAAGACTGTGTATCTCTCAGTTGAGGGGGGAAAATTCATGTCTTTGCTAACTGAAAATTCGAGAATGATGTTTTGAAATGGGTGGAAAGGAAATGTGTCTTCTGGGTACCTTTCTTTTTTTTTTTGAGGAAGATTGACACTGTGCTAACATCTGTTGCCAGTCTTCCTCTTTTTTCTCCCCAAAGCCTCAGTACATAGTTGTGTATCATAGTTGTAGAGTTGTGGCTCTTCTATATGAGACGCTGCCTCAGCATGCCTTGATGGGCGGTGAGTGGGTCTGCGCCCAGGATCCAGGAACCCCGGGCCACCAAAGCGGAACCCGAGAACTTAACCGCTCCGCCTCGGGGTCAGCCCCTGGGTACCTGTCTTATATTCCAAGCTTGGAAGGGAGCAAGGCAGTTCCTCTATGGATAGTCGAGTTTTTTAGAAAGCCCTGATCTACTTTTAAAAAATACTCACTTGTGTGTATCTTTTAAAGAAAAATATGTAGGGCCGGCCCTGTGGCTTGGTGGTTAAGTGCGTGCGCTGCAATGCTGGTGGCCCGGGTTCGGATCCCGGGTGCGCATCGAGGCACCACTTCTCCGTCCATCCTGAGGCCGAGTCCCACATACAGCAACTAGAAGGATGTGCAGCTATGACATACAACTATCTACTGGGGCTTTGGGGGGAAAAATTAAATAAATAAAATCTTAAAAAAAAAATAAATAAATAAAAAATAAAGAAAAATATGTAGATTGCCCGAAATAACTCAACTAGATTTTTCCAAGCCAGATCTCCTAGCAGGTGTGAGCTTCTAAACTTATTCTAACCATTTAAAAATATTTATCCAAAGGCTTGATTCTATTTACAGTCATTTCTGCCTCAGCTTTGATATTATTAGGTGTTTTTCTTGAGATTTTTTTCGTGCAGGAAAACATTTTCCTTTATCATTTCTTGACAGCACTTCAGCTCCGGCCGGGCAACTCAAAATGCTTTAAATTGTATTACCTTCATAAACTCTATTTTAAAAGATAAACCCTATGCTAATTTTACAGATTTGGTGGCGGGAGAGGTTGGATTGGAGGAGGAAGTTTTGGGGTCATATTAATGGTGAAATGGGTAATGTGGTGCTTTCTCTCATCTCTAGTTTTATTCCTTCCTCTTTTCACTGCTCCTGTGCTGTAGTCATTGATTTCCACCATGTGCCAATCCTGAGTGAGGTGCTCCAGGGGCAGTGTGGAGCCAGTCCCCCTGCTGTCACAGAGCTGGCGTTCTGTTGGGGGGAGACATAACAAACAGCATAAGTTTCAGAGCAATAAGTGGCCAAGGAAAATGATACAAGAAGTGACAGTGTCCAGGGCAGAATTTCTCAACCTGTCAACATCTGAGCCAGAGAATTCTCTGTCGTGGGGGCTGTCCCGTGCTTCGTAGGATACGTAGCAGTCTCCCTGTCCTCTGCCCACTGGATGCGAGTAGCACCCTCCCCCCAGACATAACAACCCAAAATGTCCCTGGACATTGCCAAACGTTCCTGGGGCGGGGGGGAGGGGGGGATGTGACAAAATCGCCCCCACTGGACAGCCACTTTATACAAAATAGGTGCTGCATATGTGTTTGCTGTTTTGTTATTTCCAGCAGTTAATAACTCATCTTTTGACTCTCGTTCACAGCCATGGATTGCAAAGACAGACCAGCTTTACCAGTCAAGAAGTTAATACAAGGTAACTTTCTGGGAACGGGTTCAATATTCGTTCCTGATTTATATTCTTCATTGTCTCCTCAATTAGATTTTTAATTCCCCTTGAGCAGAGGCCATGTGTTGGGGTCCTCTGCAGAAGCATCCGGGGGCTGGAGGGGAGCAAGACAGTTGCACCTTACAGTCAGAAGCTGGGAAAGCCATTTTATCAACTCCTGTTCCCAGGAGCAAATCCAGAGGGTGCAGCCTGTGCAGAGGGGTTTCCCTGCTTCAGCACTGTTGACAGTTTACATTTCTCGTCCTGTGTACTGTAGAGAGTTCAGCAGCATGCCTAGCCTCCTCTCCCAAGTCGTGACAACCAGTAATGTCTCCAGACATTGTCAGATGTCGCCTGGTGGGCACTGGGTTGAGCCACTGTTGTACAGGAAGATAAGTGGCTCCAAATCCTTTTGTGTGAAAAGGGCAGTGCGTTGACCCTTAGGCCACATTAGTGGCTGACTGTATAAAAAACTATGGCTTCTGGGTTTTAAAACTTGATTGTCTGGTTCCCCTGTAGCAGTTTGCCTTGTCCTATGACAGCTGATAGCTAGTTTGGTGTTGGCAGGAGAAGGGTGAAGGACAGCAGTCTTCTGAGGTTAAAGGATTTGGGGCAAACAGTAGAACGAAGGGCATGACTGTTTTATAAGCTGATTCAGAACAGGTTTATTTGTTTAGTCTATTACATTATGAAAAGTTAATGAGACGTTTTGGCATGTAAGTAAACGTGGGCTCCTTGGGAAGTTCCCCCATCTGATTTTCCTCACTCCTGAGGTGTGGCTGTGTATCACCTAGAACCAGCCAGAAGCCCAGCAGGCCATGGGAAGATGGTTGTCTGATTGACAAGAAAAGCTAACAGCCTGGGATGCTAGGGGCAGAGAGAGATCTTTCCGCAAATGGATTTGTCTCTCTTGCTCTTCCAAACCAGATGCAGTTATCTTCAAACGGAATTTCCACCCATGATAAATGAATTTGGAATTGGAACTGGATCTTGAACAGATCAAAAAATATCTCGAAATTCTGGCAACATCCCTGCTATAAAAGCTTTTCAGTTTTTTGTTTGTTTTGAATTAGGATGTTGAAAAAGTGCAGAATGAAATGATAACCCCTTTTTAAACTTTAAAATCCGCCCCCAGCCCAGCAAGGTCGATAATGTTCAAGCATATGGAATATTAAAGCCTTGATTGTGGCTCTTCACACTTTCACTAAAAAGACGGCCTCTTCTCTCCCTTTCAGCTCGTCTGCCATTCAAGCGCCTGAATCTTGTCCCAAAGGAGAAATTGGACGACGGGTCGGAGGACATGAGAAGCTCCCAGACTGCTCCTGTACAAAGTCAAGTCCCCGATTTAGAAACCTCTTTGGACCTCTTGGAGAGTGACTGTCATATGGGTTCTGAGATAGATTTTAGGCCAAAACTTGTCAATGGGAAGGGTCCCTTAGATTACTTTTTAAGAAGTAGAGACAAAACCAATATTGGCCAGACCACGGTCATCATTGATTTGACGGAGGACTCAAACGACCAACCAGACAGCACTGTGGCCCACGGTGAACTAAATTCTGTAGCCTCCCCCTCTGGGGAGGCTGTAAATGGGGTCAGAGAAGAAGCCGGAGATGAGAGGGGGCTGTCCAAGGCCGGTCCGGAGGATAAGTTGGCATTTCCCGAGATCCTTTCAGACACTCCGTGCAAGACAGAGGAGGAGCATGCTGGCTCCGGGGGCACAGAGAGGAGTGCAGACGTGCGGAAAGGCCCACCCCAAAGCTGCCCCAAGCTGACAGGCGGTCCCAGAATGTGCCCCGAGAAGGACCAGGATGGCTGGAGTGAAGCCGGGGGCATCTTGTTCAAAGGGAAGGTGCCTGTGGTGGTCCTGCAGGATATCCTGGCCACGAAGCCTCCTGGAGCCAAGTCTCCTGCTACCACTCCTCCCGACCAGGGCGTGCCCTCGGAGAGCGAGATGCTGGAGTCGGGCCCTGAGGAAGACTCTGTCCTTAGCCATTCGTCCCTGAGCTCTTCCTCTCCTACCAGCTCACCTGAGGGGCAGTCGGCCCCCAAAAAGCAGTGCCGCCAGCCCAGTCCCTTCCCCACCTCCACACCGATCCACAGGGTGAGTATCTCCCCCGAATGCCGGCGCGGCGGTGCTGACGGCGTTCAGAGTGCTTCGTTCCCGCCCCTCACTCCTCACCTGGAGTACCGTGTCGCCCACAGGGCTGGTGGCCGCACGAGTGGGGCCACAAACGAGGTCTTGTGACTTCCGGTGCAGAATTCTCTCCCGCATCAAAGACCATGAGGGGTATTGAGCGGGTGTACATCGTGATGTGCTAGGGGCTCAGGTAATCAGCAGCATGTCGATGCCATCTGGTAGCCTCAGCCATTCGAGTGAGTAACTGATGTAAGCAGGCAACCTAACTCGTGTCAGACTCTAGCTTCATCTCCCTTTCTTCCTTCTTCCTGTTCCCGTGCAGACTGCTGGGGGTGTTGGGGGTAAAAAGTCAGTAAGCGTTGGCAGAGAGACGCCAGGACAACAGGAAGAAGAAAATGGGGGATTCTGTAGAGTCAGCTCTCGTCAGCACCGTCACCCTTCTTAAAACCTCACCCAGAGTGACAGAAGGAAAAGGAGAAGTGTTGCACCATTTTTAAGGACCTAGGAAGGGTGACTTTTGAGATGCCTGTTTCCGTTATTGGTTTCCGATCAGCAATGGCAAATGTCTCTGTTCTCACCTGTCTTTAAGGTCTTGTGGATAAAACTGACACAAATCAGTCGAGAATCTGAAAGTGGGGGCTGGCCTGGTGGCGTAGTGGTTAAGTGCGCGCGCTCCGCTGCGGCTGCCCGGGGTTCAGATCCTGGGCGCACATCAACGCACCGCTTGTCAGGCCATGCTGTGGCGGCGTCCCATATAAAGTAGAGGAAGATCAGCACGGATGTTAGCCCAGGGCCAGTCTTCCTCAGCAAAAAGAGGAGGATTGGCAGATGTTAGCTCAGGGTTGATATTCCTCACACAAAAAAAAAAGAATCCCAAGGTGTGTTGAACAGTGTTCTTTGGTTTTTTGGTTTTGTAGCACTTTTGTTTGTTTATGTTAGGTAGGTTTTTATATAAGATTGGATCCTGGGGTGGGTCATTCAGTCTCTGCTGTACCAGCTTCATTTGACCATAAACCACCAACCTTGATCCCTTCCTGAAATCCAATCTCTAAGGGACTAGTTATTTTTCTAGATGATCCCATGGCTTATCTTTTACCCTCTGAGGAGATTAGAGAAAGAACAAAATGGCTCCCTCCTTAGGTTCACAAAGTATCAGTCAAGAGTGGCATTATCATTTTTAATCCTAAATTTCCAAGTGTGGCCGACTGGGATACACATTCTTGAAACCTCCGTCTGAGCCGTTACTCAGGCTCTCGGAATGCGAGTCTGAGTCTCTGCCGTCAGCCATCTTGTTCTGTCCATCCAGTTGCTTGAATTCTTTCCAGACCACTGCTTCTACTTTGCAGAACTGCTTTGTCATGTGACTCGTTCCAGCCAATTAGCCTGCAGAACAGGACACGTACACGTGTTTCCATTCTTCTTAATAGTTTCATTTTTTAAGTTAATATTAATGCCCTTAGGCATGCCAGAGACCTGGAAAGTGGGAGCCCATAGTTGGGCATTGGCATGACACAGTTTTACTTCTGTCCACTGGCCCAAATGGCCATAAAACAGCTGAGCCTGTGAACCGAGTCCTCAGTTTAGGAAGTCCTGCATCTCAGATGCTAGGTCTTACTCTGAACACAGGCGCGGAGTTTTGAAATGCTCTAGGAGGCAGCATTATCACTTGGCTTTGCAAAGAATTGACACTGCCAGTGGTGAAGGCTCCAGACCGCCCCAGAGCCTGTGGCAGACAATTGCCCCAGTCGCCCACAGCATGGGAGTAGAGCCGCCTGCTGTTGGGCGACCCCACAGGTATGAGTGGAATGATCTTCAGGACCATCTGGGGCTGTGATGGCAAGGCTGCCTGGGAGCCTGGCTGGACACAGACCAGCTCCAGCCACGCGCACATAGCCTCCTAGTGTATCTCCTTACCTTTCAGGAGTCTGGACTTGCTGATTTGTTTATTTGCTTGTTGGTTTCATGGTTGGTACCTCACTAACACCTTTCCCTGCCTCGGGCCCGAGTGTTTCCTGACCCCTGTGACTGTGGGGAATACTTCGGTTTCTCCATTTTCCCTGTCCACCTCCTCCTCCTTTCCAGATCGTGGGCAGGAACTCATCAGAAGCTTACAGGTTGTTTCATATGACCATGTAACGTGTGTGGTTCTATTAGGCTCTGTTGGTACCATACAATCTCTGCGTTTGGAACCCCGAGGCATTCACTGGGCCTCTGTTTTGTGTGTGTATTTATTGTTTTTCTTCCAGGGAGCTTGTTAAAATGCAGATCCTGCCATCCCTTCCCAGGGAGTCCCATGTAGTCCCCTGAGAGAGCTTTGTTGTGTTTTGAAGTACTCTGAGGGATCTAGAGAATCTCACTTCGAAAAACAATAATTTAGGAAGACCTTTTTTAGATAATCCAGGGTTTTTTGACTAGCTGAGGACTTGCTGTTTAGCATTAGAGCTTTTTACCATTTGTGGAACCATTTCCTACGTTTCTTTGCACTTAGATGAGTCGTTTACCCTGCTTTATCAATGATTCAAGATTATTATTCCATAAATTATAATATGGATACTGTTGCATTCCTGGAGTCTTTGCCTTGCCTCTGTACAAATGAGCCCAGATGGCTGGAACTTTTTCCCATATAATTTAGTTAATACAAGTATTACATGCTCCATGTTTAAAAAAAAATCATTGAAACATTACAGCCCCTTTTGTGTCTTGTCTCTTCCCCAGATTGTCATCTTATAGTTCCCTGTGTGGTGTGGATGTGAGAGATCCCTTAGGAATACAGTATCGTTTTGTTTCCTTACATGAGCCGTATACTGTAAATATGTTTCTTTTTCCTTGCCGGGTGTCTTAGATATTTTTTACTTTGGGATGGGAAGATCGATGTTGTTTTAACTGCTATATTGTACACCTGTGGTGTGGATATGCGCAGTTTACAGCGTCATCTCACTGATGGATATTTCTGTTGTCTCTAATTCTCGGCCTCGACCAATGATAATTGTAGTAAGCTTCCTTCTACCATTTCCCGGGCTGTTTTTTTGTGTGTGTGTGAGGAAGATCAGCCCTGAGCTAACATCTGCCAATCCTCCTCTTTTTGCTGAGGAAGACTGGCCCTGGGCTAACATCCATGCCCATCTTCCTCCCCTTTATATGGGACGCCGCCACAGCATGGCGTGACAAGCGGTGCGTCAGTGTGCGCCTGGGATCCGAACCGGCGAGGCCTGGGCCGCTGCAGCGGAGCGCGCGCACTTAACTGCTTGCGCCACACCGGGCCGGCCCCTCCAGGGCTGTTGTTAAGCAGACTGGCAGGAATGCGCCTGGAGTTTTGCCTGCTTGTGCTCCCGTGTGGCCGGGCCGGTCTGGTGTATCTTTTCCCGTGTCTTCTCTCCCCCACTGTTGGGTTATTAGCTGCTGCCTATCCACAGCCTCCTCCCCCCTCTCATTCACTGCTGCTTCTCTTCTCCGGGCTTAGAAATGAGATCTTCTCAGGTGTAAAATCAGAGTAAGTGGGCTCCAGGATTCTCCCGAATAACGTGTAGAATTTTACTGCACGGACATAGTTACGTCTCCCTTGACTACTTGGGGTAGTCGATGTGTGTTTCAGCTTCCTCCTGGGATCCTGGGTCTCGTTTTTGGCAGGTGAGTTCCAGATCAGTAACATGTATGGTCTGTATCTTGAGAGAGAGTTCTCTAAATACTTGGGCCAAATGTCAAGAAGATAAAATTACATAAGACCAGTAAGATCCACCCGAATGTCTAGTAAAGCAATAGAGATACTGGTTTTAAATTAATCGTAATTGCTCTGGTCGTTGGATATCATTCAGCCGGCTCCTGGTAGTCATGTCAACTCTGTTATCGCTGGACTCACAGCAAAGGGGAAGCATTGGAAAAGGCACTGATTCTGCAGCTGAAATTCAACAAGTATGGACAAGACTAAATAAATGTGTTTTTCCCCCCAAATACTCTGATAGAGGAGTCTGGCAGTCACATTGGGTAATCTTTGTGTGTAATCTTTGAATGCAAAGGACCACGACATAGAGATATGGAAACTTACAGATTCTGCTGTGAGGTTCTTGACTCGGGGGGGTGAAGTCCGCAGGCTTGGCAGGTGGATCGGATCCTGGAGAGGCAGATGCTCTTTCTTACGCACTGGGTAAGGCCTCTCGGGTAACTGGCAGTTCTGTTGGCGCACGCTCCGAGAACACGGGACTGAGCACCCGGCACTCTCGGTGGCCTTTGAGCTCCTCCCAACATGTGGCTTTCTCATGACTATGCTCGGCCCTTTCTTTTCCTAAAGGAAAGCTTAGTCCAGAAGGACCTTGGTGTGCCCAGTAAGAGGGATATCTTGAGTTCATTCATCTGTCAGTTTTATTCTGTAACAGGTCTTAGGGCTGAGGCTTCCCCAGGTAGAGAAATCACTGAAACAGAATTTTGTCGAGAGATGGCAGACCATTCCAAGAGAAATGGGCCTTTGTGCTTTTTTGTGTGTGTGTGAGGAAGATTGGCCCTGGGCTAACATCTGTGCCCATCTTCCTCTACTTTATATGGGACTCTGCCACAGCATGGCCTGATGAACAGTGCGTCGGTCGGCGCCCGGGATCCAAACCTGCGAACCCCAGGCCGCTGACGTGAAGCATGCGAACTCAACCGCTATGCCACCGGGCCAGCCCCAGGCCTTCGCTTTTTCAACTGGGCTTTAGTCTCAGTTTTTGGCTGCCTCTCCAAGTCTAAAATGAGCCTGGGGAGTTCCCTCTTTCTGGCCTGAACTGTCTCTCCATTGTCCTTCAGTCTGATGGCGGGTTATCAGGATTCCGGAACTGCTCTGGAGAGAGCTTAGGCCAGAAGTCTGGCCTCCCCTGTCATCCCCAGATGCATGTGTGTGCACCTTCATTGGGGTTTGTGACCCCGCTGCGACATTTTGGTTCTCTTGGAGGAGACTGGTCACCTGGAACGGTTTTCATTTTTCTTGTTGTGCAAAGCAGTTCTTCAAGTGTGGGTCACACGTTCCCTCCTTCCTTTTCCCCGTGGACCATGCAGTACGGTGAACAGGGTAAAGTGATTGAACCAGCCCTGTTTTAAGATAATGTCTTTCATTTCAGATAACTAAGAAATTGGTCAAAGGTTCTGCCGAGAAGAACAAGATGAGACTGCAAAGAGTAAGACATTTTCCCTGAAATAGAAAATTACCCCGCTGTGCTTTTTGTGTTGAATAGTAAGCAAAGCCCTTTGCACTTCTCTGGCCCAGTTGTCACCTCTCCCCTCTTGTTCTGACCATCATTTTGCTTCTTGCTTCATTTTACATAACTGGGCTTAGTGGATTGCGTCATTTTTAGCTTTGCTGAGTCCTAAGGTTTTGCATGTAGCCTTTTCTAAGCTTTTATTATTATTATTACTGTCTTAATTAGTTGGGCATCCCACTGTGGCTTAAAATTGCCTTCCAAGAACCTAGTCCCTCTCCCACATCCCAGTCCCCTGCGGATGGATTTAAGTTCCGCTTCTTCCCACAAGCTGTAACACATTGACGGCACCTACACTTCATGGGTGATGATTGTTTAATGGTTCTCTGCTAAGTCTTGGACTCTGTTTTCTAGAGTTTATCTCATTCTTCGTTGGAATTTCAGAGTTGGGCACCCACGGGTGGGGGTGGGGACGGGACTCAGAATGAAGAGATCTGATTTCCAGAAGCCCCTGTCTTCTTATCTAGCAGCGGGGAGCTGCATTTATGCTGCTGGTCTTGTCACTCACCCAGACCCTCTCCAGGTATCCTGTGTGTCAGACGCAGATGCGGAGGGTACTTGGCAAGAAGCGAATGTTCAGACATGTCTGAGGGCATGCCTCTGTGGCTTTTGTTCCAATGACCAAAAGTTTCTTAGGGCAGAGGGTAGAATATTCTCTGGGGACGAGGGCATAATCATACACTCATACAGCCCGAAAGCTCAGCTGTCGGGCTCCAGACAGGTGGGAAGCCCATCCTCGGTGGGAATGGCCCTTGAAAATTACCCCGAGCTATGTTAGCAGCTGGCCACCCCTTCCATCTGGCAGGTGAACTGTTTAATATGAACTCAAGATTATATAATAACTCAGGGCCCCAGGCCATGTCCCAGTTCTTCGGAATGAGGAACTGATGTAATAAAACGAGATGTTCCCACTTCAAAGAATAGAAAAGAAACTAGCTGTTTGTTCCTGCGGCTAATGAAAAGATACTCCCATCGTAACAGAGGTTATTCTTCATCCTTTCTTCCTACCTAACCTTCTTTTCAGATCCTGAGAAATGGTTTTAAAGATTGTTTTTTCTTTTATTTTTTTATGTGTTCTCATTTATCCCCTGCTGTTTTAAGACTTGCCCATCAGGTTCCCCGTCCTTGCCTCATCCCACTCTTTTACTTCAAAAGAAATAAAATAAACCCTATCATCTGGTATGGTTTTGGGGGAAGAGGAAGAAAAATCCTTGTGTTTTAAAGGTAGGGAGGCAAAACGTGGAGGTGTTTCTGTGTCTTTATTTTACCACAGCTTTCTGTTTAAATAAATGCAGCTCGGACCCCACAGCGGGCCCCCTGCATAGGCAGCCCAGAGGTACTTATGCAATCTTTTTAAATTCATTAATAAGTAAACTTCATCCCATGTCGAAAGACGGTATTGTACATTTTGAATTGCCTACAAGGTCCTGTGACAAGCGGCTGATGCTCGTCCCTTTGCTCAGGACAGAAGGAAACGTAACGGGGAGAGTCACTCCTGCGTGAGGCTGCGGGCTGTGCGGCCTCTCCCCGTCTCCCTTCTGTCTGCACACGGGCCCTCCCCGGGGCTCGGCGTGGCCGCAGCCATGCCCTGTCTCTCGCTGCAGGACAAGGAGCGGCTGGGCAAGCAGCTGAAGCTACGGGCCGAGAAGGAGGAGAAGGAGAAGCTGCGAGAGGAGGCCAAGCGGGCCAAGGAGGAAGCCAAGAAGAAGAGGGAGGAGGAGAAGGAGCTGAAGGAAAGGGAGAGGCGGGAGAAGAGGGAAAAGGACGAGAAAGAGAAGGCGGAGAAGCAGCGGCTCAAGGAGGAGAGGCGCAAGGAGCGGCAGGAGGCGCTGGAGTGAGTGGCGGCCCCCGCGCTGTCCCTGCCACGTCCTCCCCAAGGGGACCCGGCACCCTCTCCAGGGTTGCAGGCGGAGCCCCTGATGGAAGGGGCGGGGAGGAGCCTCTGCTTGCTGCGCTCTCCCCCTCCTCCCGTCTGTCTCCCGGGGACACTTCTTCAGACCCCTCGCCGTCCCAGGACGCAGGCTTGGGCTGGGCGCGTCGAGGGCCGGTGGCTGACGTGGAGTCTCGTGTCCCGCAGGGCTAAGCTGGAGGAGAAGAGGAAAAAGGAAGAGGAGAAACGGTTGAGAGAGGAAGAGAAGGTAGGACGTTCCCCCAGAGCTTCCACATTCCAGCCTCTTGGAGAATCCGGAGCTGGCATAAAGCGGGTCTTTGCTTCACTGCTGCCCGGCGTTCCCCAGGTCGTGGGAAGCCACGCGGCCCCCACAGGGACTGATGTGTGTGTCAGCAGGTTCTCGTCCCTTGTTCTCATGCTGGCCTGTCACGAGCCTACTGGCTCGACATCCCGGTCCTTCTGCCCACGAGAGCATCTCTGACATTTTGAGATGGCCTGGTACCCCGTTGCTGGTTGACGGGTTTTGAGAGCTGAAATGAAAATAATGCTTTCAACTTAAAAATGCTTGCGATTCAGTTCTAGGGGCCTTTGCATGTTTTAAAACACACACCGTTTCTCTTTATTTCTTCGTCTTCCCCATCTTCTCTTAAATTGCAGCGCATTAAAGCAGAGAAGGCCGAAATCACGAGGTTCTTTCAGAAACCAAAGACTCCACAGGCCCCCAAGGTGAGCAGCTTCCTCCTGCTTCCCTTCTGGTGTTTGTCAGCCTCTTCCTTTGGGAAAATAGAAGGGTCTCTTCCGACCAGCTAGCTTCCCTTTCGTGAAGGGGGGCCTCCGCCTGCGCAGGGAGCTCTTCTTTCTGGAGGTTCAGCGTTTTCTCATTCACTATGTCCTTGAAAAGGCACATTTGCTAGAGGTTGCTTCATGAGCAGTTTTGCATTAGGAGGTGTGTGGGAAAGTCTAAGAGAAGAAGACCTAGGCCTTACCCTTGAGGAATTTATGCACCAGATGGGAGCCAAGACCAACCATAAAACAGCAGTACAGAATCGCGCTTCCCCAGACCAGCATCCAGTCACCTTCGGGACCAGCATCTGCTCGTGGAGACCCCAGACCTCCCTCTCCCCCCACCCCCCAGCTCCAGAGGTAACCCATCTCCTCCAATGCACGGGTGTCCTTCCAGATCTTTCTCTGTGCCTTTACATCCCGGCGTGTATTTGTGTATTGGTGTGCACATAAATCACGATCATTCTGAATTTGCGTTACTACTTTGTGTACTTACCGTGTCTTGGATTCTGGCCACGTCGGCCCTTTTGGATCTACCTCATTCCCTTCCCTTGCTGCGTGACTTCTCGTGATGGGGATGGTATCACAGTTTATACGTCCATTCCCCGTTGAGCCCCCTCAGTGGCGCACTGAGCGTCACCGACATTCTGCGCCCGAGCCTTCCTTCAGGGCGGCCACCTGCCAGCGGGCTTGCTGCTGGTCCAAGGACACGCACGTCCGCAGAATCGTGGTGGTTATGGTTCTGCTGCCCTCCCCGCGGGAAATGCCGATGCACCGTCCCACAGTGTGTGCAACTGTGCGCTTCCCGCCAGCCACCAGCGTGGGTGTGACACATTCTCTTTTCACTCTGCCAACCTGACGCGTAAAAAAAGTGATGTCCCTGTTTGAACATTTGTCCTTGGCTCCTAGTACAGTTCAACATCTTTTCACGTTTGTTCGCCTTTTATCTCTTGTTCTGTGCCTTGCTAATTCCTATTTTCACCCAGTTTTCTACAGCATTGGCTCCCCGCTCCCCACCGGATCTCTAGGAGTCCTTCATATAGCCTGGATTTTCATTCTTGGTGATATACACTGCAAATATTTTTTCTTAGCCTGTTTCCCACCTTTAACTTTGTTTATGATGTCTTTTTGTTGCACAGAAATTTTTTGTTTTAATGTCAACATTTTTATTCTTTTATGGCAATTGGCTTTTGGTTGGAAAGCCTAATGTATCCTATGGTTGTAGATACATTCTGATTTTTTTCCAGTTTTGGGGGGTTTTTTTTTAGCTTGAGTTTTCTTTCTTTTTTTTTTTATAATTTTATTTATTTATTTTTCCCCAAAGCCCCAGTAGCTAGTTGTATGTCATAGCTGCACATCCTTCTAGTTGCTGTATGTGGGACACGGCCTCAGCATGGCCGGAGAAGCAGTGCGTCGGTGCGCACCTGGGATCCAAACCCGGTCCGCCAGCAGCGGAGGGCGCGCACTTAACCGCTAAGCCACGGGGCCGGCCCATTGAGTTTTGTTTCTTATGTTGAGTTCCTTCGCTGGAATTCTTTGTGCTCGTGGTATGGGGCGTGGCCCTCACTCTTTCCCCATGTGGATCCCGATGTGCCCAGCACCCGTTCCTTAGTGAGGAGAAAAGTCTGCTGGCTCCTGGCCTGGGCTGCCTGTTGGAATCGCTGGGGAGCTGTAAAGAGTAATGGAGCCTGGATCTTATCCCCGGGAATCCCACAGGCCAGGTCTGGGCACCGGGATTTCCACCAGTTCCCCGGATGACCCTGTCGTGCAGCCAGCAGTGAGGGCTGCCGGCCCCACTGGCTTTCTTATACCAGACTTCGTAGACATAGCCTCTCCTGCCCCCCACGGCGTCCTCGTGTGCTGCCAGCTTTGGGATCCGCTGACACAGACATTCAAGATGCTGAATGAGCTCTGAGAAGGGAAATCACGTCCACCAGACTTTACAGTGGCTGGTTCTCAGGAAACAGACTCGATGTTTCAGGTCCATGTCAGGCTTCAGTGTTGGAGTCGGCTGTGTCATAGTCATGTGTTGTAATGGGGTGGCTCTGGGTAAGCAGGTCGCTCTCCTGGGTCTCCATTTCCTCCTCTGGATCTCAGGCTTTATTGTCTTTTTATTTAAAAAAAAAAAAAAAAGCCAGGTTTATGGAGGTATAATTTTACAGTAAAATTCACCCTTTTCAGGAATACTGCTCAATGAGTCTTAACAATACATGGGGCCCCGCGGCTAACGCTGTGATCAGATCTAGAGTTTTGCCATCAGCCCAAACGGCTGCCTTGTAGTCATCCCCTCCTTCCACCCCCAGCCCCTGGCAACCACGGTTGTCATCTCTGGCCCCATAGCTTTGCCTTTTCCAGAAACCCAGGTAAACAGCATCACACAGCGTGTAGCCTTCTGTGTGTCTTCTCTGACTCTCTGACGTGGACAAATCGGAAAAGCAGCATGCTGTGTCCAGCCGCCCACCCTCGCACTGCTGGGTGGTGTGCCGTCGCACAGGCGTGCCATCACTCTCTTCTCCATTCCAGACCCTGGCCGGCTCCTGTGGGAAGTTTGCCCCTTTTGAAATTAAAGAACATATGGTCCTTGCCCCTCGGTGTCGGACCGCCTTTGACCAGGACCTCTGTGACCAGTTGGACCAGCTCCTCCAGCAGCAGAGTGGCGAGTTCTCCTTCCTGAAAGATCTGAAAGGGCGGCAGCCCCTCAGGTCGGGACCCACCACGGTTTCTAACCGGAACACAGACATCTGTAACAGGTCAGTGCCCCCTGGTGAGGTTGGCGCAGCTCGAGAGCCCTAGGGGGCCTACTGCTGACTCCCTGTGGCCTTGGGCCCGTCATCTCCCTCCCGGGCCTCAGCTGGACTTCAGTGCTTCATTGGACCTCTGTGCTGGCTTCCCCCGAGCCTCCGAAGTCTCCCGTGGGCAGTAGCCTTGCAGGACCCCACTGCTCTGGAGTGCAGACTGCCCATCCCGGCTTCCCGACTCTCCTAGGAGGGATCCTATTTCCCTGCTGGCCTCCTAGAAAGGCATCTCCCTGTGCGTGCTGCTGTACTCGCCCTCCACAGCCCCACTCACGTAAATGCCTGGGGCACAGCTTGGCAGTCTGGTCTCCCTCCCCCTTGCTCTGTGTCCCTGGGTACATGCTCTGTAGCTTTCCTCAGGCACAGGTGCTGCTGAATGTTACCCATCTTTGTGGCGGGTCCATGGCCGCTTCCTCGGGAAGACGGGGTGGTGAGTGAGCGCGTCGCGGGGGGCCTTCCTGAGCTGGTGTCTCACCCCGCAGTGATGTGGTGATCGTGGAGAGTGGCAAAGTGGACGGCGTTCCCGACAGGAGGAAGTTCGGCAGGATGAAGCTCCTGCAGTTTTCCGAGAATCACCGGCCAGCGTACTGGGGGACGTGGAACAAGACGACGACGGTCATCCATCCGAGGGACCCCTGGGCCCAGGACAGGGTGAGTGTGTGGGCAGACGTGCTGATGGGCCAGGCGCCTGCCCTTCCAGGTTTCCTTCTCGTTTGCCTTCTTTTATGCTGGTCTCTTGGATTCCGTAAGTATTCCAGCTTTTCTGCTCTGCCTTTTCCTTCCAACCCTGAAAAACAACAATGACGCACCATGTGTTTGTTTTCCCAGAAGCTCCTCGACTACGAGGTGGACAGCGATGACGAGTGGGAAGAGGAGGAGCCGGGAGAGTCCCTCTCCCATAGCGAAGGGGTGAGCGCAGACCCGGACCGATTCAGATTTCGAGCAGAAGACCGAGGCAGGCCCTAGGCCGAATTCACCCACAGACAGCCTTGGTTTGAGCTGCAGGGTTGTCTGAACATTTTAGCCAGCGTTTAACATCTGGATTTCCAACTTCTCATGGAAAACCGTAGCTGGCGACACTGACCCTCTTGGCAGCGGTGGGTCATCCTTTTAGATGGGCATGCCCACTCCCTGGCTCTCCATGGTCCCCACCGCTCTCTCTTGCCTTCCATCTGGGCGGCTTCACTGAATTATTTTCTTCCTAATCCCCTACCCCCACTGTAATATAATGGGGTTAATTAGTGGGGTTTCTGCTGATCCCCACCGTGTCCATAGGAACGACACTCAAAGCAGGAGATGGCTTTTTCTTCCTTAGGTGTTCACAGATTAAAATTTTAAACGAAGCATATATTCTGTTTCCACATATTGTGAACATACTTTTTTCCCCTTGAGGATGATGATGATGAAGTGGGAGAGGACGAAGATGAAGATGATGGTTTTTTCGTGCCCCATGGGTACCTGTCTGAGGATGAAGGAGTAACTGAGGTGAGGGGTCGACGGGGAGGTGACTGGCTCAGAAAAGAGCTCAGTCGGGGGCCTGGCCGGTGGCTGCTGACCTGGGGGTGGTGACGGGGATTCCACACCTACCTCGCCCCTCACAGCCTCAGAGGCTCGGCTCCGCACGCAGCCCTGGTCGTTTGTGGGACTGCTGGAGCCAGAGCCTGAGTTCCGCCTGGGAGGGTGATAGCATCTGTGGAGGGAGGAGAAAACTCCAAGTGAGGGGAGAGGTGTGAGAAGAAAGCCTGGTCGGAGGGTGGCTGTGGCGTGTGGGTCAGGACACAAACTTTTTTTCTTACGTTTCTTAGCTGAAGTATAATTAACATACAACAAAACATACAGATCTTAATTTTTGAGTGTGATGAGGTTTAACAATTGACTACATTTGTGAAACCACCACTCGAAATGAAATCGAGAACTTTTCCATCTCTCCATGCCCCTTTGAGTTAACCCCCTGCCACCACCAACTTTCTAAATTCTGCCAGGTGGTGGAACTTTTGAGTAAGCCATTTTTGGGGCTCTGAAGACCTGTCGGGTTGCAGTGTTTGGGTGGTGGAGAAACAGAGAAAAGTCCGACACGCCTGGGGCATGATTGTGTCTCAAAGTCAGACCTGAAGGGCGTGTGTTCCTTGTACGTTTCCGAAGGAGGCGGGTGTTTCTCGTCGCAGCCGCAGCATCTCTGTCTCAGAGAGTGGTATCGGGTCCCCTGGAAGAGGCCTGGCCGTGGCTGAACTGGGCACGCGGTTGTGGGTTGGTGATTTGACAGCTCCAGGGTCACCTGTTAACCAGAAAATCCAGAGTGGCCTTAGGAGGCTCCCTGGTGAGGTTATGAAATTACCTGTGCCTCGCCGGTCAGAGGCATCTCCAGCATCGAAAGGGGGAAAATACCGATTACCGTTCAGTTTAGAAAGCTGTCTGCCTGTCTCACCGCCTGTAGTGTCAGAAGAGGAATGTCTAGGATGCGGTGGGGAGCCTGCAGGTGTGGTTTCCACACTGGTCCCGACTGAAATAACTCGGCCCCCTTTCCTCTCACTGTCCCAGAGGCGGGGACTGAGAGTGCCCGGGCGGAGGGGAGCGGGGACCCCGAGTAAGCGTCTGCTCCCTATCCTGCAAGGAGTGTGCCGACCCGGAGAACCACAAGGTTCGCCAGAAACTGAAGGCCAAGGAGTGGGACGAGTTCTTAGCCAAGGGGAAGAGGTTCCGTGTGCTCCAGCCCGTGAAGATCGGCTGCATCTGGGCGAATGACAAGGATGGAGGCGCCGACCTGAAGCTGCTGCAGCAGTTCACGGCGTGCCTGCTGGAGACCGTCCCCCCCGAGGAGGAGCAGACGCCCAAGGCCTCCCGGAGAGAGAAGAGGGACCAGCAGAGTGAGTGCCGGCGTGGGAGGGGGCGGGCTCCCCTGCTGCGAGGCCCGGGGCACTAGATTAGGGGACTGGAGGGAAAATTGAGAAGTTCTCTCAACAAATAACAAGCCGGCGCCTGCCAGGCACATGTGTTCACTCTGATGTTCACGATAGCAGTATGAGGCGGCTGCTTTAGCCCGTTCCACCTGCGGGGACTGGCCCAGCGCCTGGCCCAAGTCCCACACGTCCCTGACGGCTCTGCCTCCTTGCTTTTCAAGCCAGGGAGGACTCGTGACTCAGATCGTGAGCATGATGACCTTTACCAAGGAAAAATAGGCCCATAAAGTGAGGCGCGGCAGTTAATCCAAATGAATCCTGCCTTGTGAGGCTTGGGCTTCACAGAACCCTCTGGAGCTGTTCTTGAGTCTTAAATCTATCCCTAAAAGGCCACCCCAACGCCGACCATGTCTCGACGGCAGGGACAGCTTGGGGCCTGTGTGCCGTTTATTCTGTGTCTCACGCCCACCGTGTCCCCTCCCCGCTCCAGTCTTGGCCCAGCTTCTCCCGCTGCTCCACGGGAACGTGAACGGAAGCAAAGTGATCATCCGGGAGTTCCAGGAGTGCTGCCGCCGAGGGCTGCTCAGCAAGGACGCCGGCAGTCCCGAGACCTGCTCCGCCAGCCCCCCGAGCCCGGGCTCCTCCCGCCCACAGACCCCCACCGCCGGCGAGGACACCGCCGTCCCCTCCAAGGCCAGGCTCAAGCGGATCATTTCCGAGAACTCAGTGTACGAGAAGAGGCCCGATTTCAGGATGTGCTGGTACGTCCACCCGCAGGTGCTGAAGAGCTTTGACCAGGAGCACCTGCCCGTGCCGTGCCAGTGGAGTTACGTCACCATGGTGCCCTCGGCCACCAGGGAGGACAGTGGCAGCGCCCCCTCCACGGGGCCCGTCCAGGGGACGCCTGTCTCGCTGAAGCGGAAGTCGGGGGGCAGCATGTGCATCACCCAGTTCATGAAGAAGCGCAGACACGACGGGCAGGTGAGCGGCAGGCCCAGGAGCCCACGGCGGCCTTCATATTTTTAATGAAGTTCATTTTTTAGAGCAGTTCTAGATTCACAGAAAACTGAGGCCAAAAACTTGTCCAACATTGAGGGGAAGGTGCTGAGATCTTCCATATGCCCCTTGTCCCCCCCACACACAGCCTCCCCCACTGTCAGCATCCCCCACCAGAGGGCACATCTGTTACAGCCGAGGAACCTACAGGGGCATGTCACGGTCACCCCACATCCGTGGTTGACGTTAGGGGTCACTCGGTCTTGTGCATTCTGTGGGTTTGGACAAATGTAGAATGATCCGTATCCACCGTCAGAGTATCACAAAGACTAGTTTCACTGCCCTAAAAATCCTCTGCGGCCCACCTCTTCATCCCTCCTTCCCCTTAAACCCCTGGCAACCACTCATCTACTGTCTCCATAGTTTTGCCTTTTCCAGAATGTCCTAGAGTTGGAATCACATACTACGTAGGCTTTTCAGATCAGCTTCTTTTACTTAGTGATACACATTTAAGGTTCCTCCTATAAGGTTCCTCCGTGTCTCTTCATGGCGTGATTGCTCATTTCTTTTTAGCACTGAATAACGTTCCAAGCACTGGCTTATTCTTATTTTTTTGTTTTTGCATTCATTTAACACAGTTATTAAGCACTTATTCTGTACCACACACCCTGCTAGGCCTTGTGTACGCAGTGACAAGCAAAACACCATCTAACGGGAGACACAGACAGGAGTCCATCAGGCGAAATGCCGTGTGATTACAGATAGATGGTGCGCCAAAGAGAAGGAGCATGGAGACGAGGGACGTGTGCCAGGTGGGCCTGCCTGGCCCGGGAGCTGGGGTGGCCTCCTGAGACACTGGGCTCGGTCGTCTCCAGCGCTGTGTGCACGCTCAGAGGGCAGGGCCAGTGCTAGAGGCCTGTGTTGCTGTTTGGTGTGTGGTTTTTTCCCTTACTAGAATGTGAATGTCAGTGAGTTTGTTTCCACCTCTCTGCTCTTACTGGAAACCTGTTTTGCGGTGTGAGCATTGGGCCCTGGTTTTAGGCAGGCATCTCGCGGAGTTACAGATTTTAGGAGGATGAGATGAAGGCGTCGTAAGAGCCAGGTCTCCCGCTCACGTCCAGTGGCCTCTTCAGGAGGGGCTGTGGCCCGGGAGCTGAGTGCTGGAGGCTAGTGCTGGCGGAGATGGAGCGGGGAGAGCTGGTGCGCGCCCGCCAGCCCCCAGCTCCCGCCCACTGCTTCTGACACTGACTGTGCGGCTGAGAACTTCAGTGGCCGTCAGGGCGAGGAGGCGGGAGAACTGCTCCTGGAACGGTGTCGAGCCTTCTCCCTGTTCCCGAAGACAGATGAGGCCTTCCATCCTTCGTAAACCTTACACGTCACGGCAAGGGACACCGTCAGAATGGCCCGATGTTGTGTTGTCATGTCGACTGTTCCTTGTCCCTCTCCAGAGCCCTCGTCCGTGCTAGGCTGCGTGCACAGCTGCGCCCAGCCTGTGGTTGTGGCTTGCTACTGTGGAGAGCCCGCGGGCTTAGGAGTCAGGGCCCCGGACCCACCGACACTTCCCTCCCTGAAGTGATGGGCTTCGTTAGATTAGTTGTGTTCGAGCCTTTCCATGGTCGACATTGTTGTTACCCAGATGGTCTTAGGGGCAACCCAAATGTGGCTGTTCTGGTGGAAACCAGCTGGGGAGGCCCAGTTTGAAAATGGCTGGGGCTGGAGACACCCTGTGTTTGTTTCCTTATCCAGGCAGCGTGCGCTTCCCCCGCTCCCCCAGGGCTCCTCTGTGCCCGGTGTCATTTCACTGGGGTAGATGTGGGGTCTCGCGTGAGGGCACAGCTGCGTCCCTGAGCTCCGCTCTACTCTCCTTGCCCTCGGGGTGGTCGTCCTCATCCATGTTCATAACCCGTGTTTCTCCACGTGGAAAGCGGTGGTTTCAGCCTGTTGCATGTTTCCTCACACGCTGGGCACTGCTGGGCACTTGACGGGGATCCCTACGTTTCATGCGTGGTGAGATGCTGTGTTATCTTACGAGCCACCAGGAAGGAGAGTGCTCCCCATTGAACTAGGCTGCCCCTCCCAGGAGACAGGTGGATGCGTGAGGAAGCGTGCACCCGGGAACCAGTGAAGCGGGCGTTTCGTCCGATGGTGCACATGTGAACAGCAGCCTGGGCTCGGTGCGGCCTCTGCTCCCGTTCACAGACGGGGGCCTCGTAGAGGCTCAGCAGTGTGGGGGACTCACCGAAGGCTACACCGCGAGTGAACCTCGGCCCAGGCCCAGCTCACGGCTTAACCCAGGAGTCTAAAACTGTTCTGGGCAGAAGTGTCACCCGGAGAAGCTTCACTTGAGAGTTGTGGGCATGCTGGACCCAGTGAGTCTGATTCAGTAGGTCGGGGGACCCTCAAGTCTGCGTTTTAAAAGCTCCTTCTCAGGGACTGCCACGTGAAGGACCAGGACCACAGCGTGGCCAGCACAGGGGGCGCATGACACGAGGGGAAGCCCTGAGCACCTGGCTTCTGGGGTGTTCTGTGGGCAGTCAGCCTCGCCACTGCTCCTCGGCGTGCTCACGGTGGGACACCTGCTCGACAGCACTTGGTCCTCTGGGATTGTGTTGGGCCGCAGGTAACAGGGCCTCTAGTCACAGCTTAAGCCATGGGGGTTTGTCTCCAGCAACAAGAAGGCCTGAGCTCCTGTAATGACGTCGTCGTCCGAGGCCAGGCTCCTCCTGCCTCCTACCCCCTCCTTCCTTAGTGTTGGTCTGTCTTCGTGGTCACGAAATGGCTGCTGCACCTCCAGCCAGTAGGACCAGGGGGCGAAGCTGCCTATTAGTCTGGAAAGGGAAGCCCTCCCTAGCAGATGGCCACCTGTTTCCTTCTGGCCAGAATGCTTTGGTACAAAGCTGCAAGAGAGGCTGCAGAAATGAGACCTTGACCCCCACCCCCACCCCCACCCAACAAAATGCCTGTTCTGTTTTGGGAGGGAGGGCTGGGAGAGTAGCTTTGGGGTATGCATCGAGCGGGGCCTGCCACCGCACAGCACCTACACAGCGTGGGAAGCACGGGTACGACTTCCTGGAAGGCAGGCTCGGAGGGCCGGGAGCACGTGGAGTGCCTTCCCTCGCATTTTGCGAAAGCCGCTAGCTGATCCTTCTGCCCCCGTGGGGATGGGTGTTGCTAAACTCTAAATGTGTCCCAATGTTTCAGACCGGGCTGGGCTTCTTTAATTTGTGAGAAATTTAAAATCTCTTCAAGTCCAAGAGTCACGGTACCTCATGGTTTACAAAGTGTTCTGCCGCCACGCGTCTGTGTGGCCCAGGGTGACTCGGGGCCTAGGTTTTGTTTTACAATGGGGAGAGGCTCTGTTTGCCCTTTCCAGTCCCAGGCACTCTGCTGGAAACCGCCGGTGTGACTCGGCCCTCCCTCTCTGTGGGTGCCGAGTGTTTCCGCTCCCCCCTCCCCATCTCTGCATCCACCACCTGCGTAGGGACAGCGGGATGCCGAGCTTTCCCTTACAACAAGCTCTCAGCGCAGCGCGGCTCAGCTCTCGTCCTGAATTCTCCCTTTAGAAGGCGTCAAAGCCTATCGCGTGCCCAGAGGGTTGTGGGTGGTGGTCCCCCTGAAAATGTGCGCATCAAGAGAGAACCTCGTTCGTCTACACTGGCGTTTCCTGTCTGCAGGCCCAGTGGCTGGGGGGCTCTAAAGAAATCAGTTTGTTCCTTTCACTTAACAGACCCAAACACCGCCCCCCAAATCAGCATAAGTCAGAGCAGGGCTGTTTTGCTTTTCTCTGCCAAACAGTCCTTCTGGAGCAGGTAGCTGGAAGGTGCCCTTAGCGTCCCCCCAGTGGCGGCAGTGCCTCTTCCTCTGGGGGCCGGTGTTCCCGGAGGCCAGACGTGGAACCTTCGATCTGAACCCGGTTCCCAGGCCAGGAAACCAGTGTGCACGTCAGTCTCGTTGCGCTGCCGTCCCTCTTCAGGCAAACAGAGATTTTTGCAGCAGAGGAATTCTGGAAGTGTTTTGAGAACTAGTCTCCCTGTTGAAATGAGCCCGTCTCCGCCTCATCTGCTGGTTCTTTGTTCACGTACAGAGAGCGTGAGCGCTCCTGTGGGTGGTGGGTGTTTGAAATTGGTCCTGCTACCTTCCACGGTCTTGTCTTCCCCCCTGGCGAAAGCCAGTGAAAACAGCTCAGGAATGCCGTTGGAAATGCTACCCTCAGCAGAGGCCTTCCGGCCCCACCCGCCCTCCTGCCCTCTGTCCACAGCTGCGCAATGGCATCCCCACTGGAAACTGGTCTGAGCACAGATTCAGCGAGAGAGTTGTCAGGTGCCAGGCAGAGGGGACTGAGCCGTTGGGCGGAGAAGAAAACACTGACTGAGTTCTCAGCCATTTATTTCAAAGAATAAATACAGCGAGAGTGCATGCTTTAGTAATTTCTCTTTCAAACCCAACCAGAAACCCAGAATTCTTTCTAATTCAGTAAGAGTTCACAAGGGCCCGCCTGGTGGCACAAGCAGTTAAGTGCGCGCTCCACTGTGGCGGCCCGGGTTTCGCGGTTTCAGATCCTGGGCACGCACTGACGCACCGCTTATCAAGCCATGCTGTGGCGGCGTCCCATATAAAGTGGAGGAGGATGGGCACGGATGTTAGCCCAGGGCCAGTCTTCCTCAGCAAAAAGAGGAGGATTGGTATCGATGTTAGCTCAAGGGCTGAGCTTACTCACAAAATAGAAAAATAAAAATAAATAAAAAAGAAAACAGTTCACAAATCATTTTTGTAATAACGTAAGTAATGATGGTGGTAGGTTTCAGAGATCTGAATTTCATTAGTTCGTTTGAGAGAAACCCCCAAGCTTTCCTTTGGTCGTAGGCTATCAAACAGACTCCTCAAATTCATTGTCAAAACAGGTAGAGGAGGTCGGGTATAAGGAAGCGGGTGGCGAGGGGGGTCACACGCTGGCCCGCCCCGCAGCTCCCGTGTCCCCATCTGCTGCCGCTGCTGACGACAGCCCTGCCCCCTTGGTCTGTTCAGGTCGGCGCTGGGGACCTGGACGGCTTCCAGGCGGACACGGAGGAGGAAGAGGAAGAGGAAGGTGACTGTGTGATGATGGACATCTCGGATGTCGGGGGTGAGAAGGGCCCCAAACCAGCAGGAGGGGAGGGCGCCCTCTCTCCCGCTCGCCCCTTCTGTAGATAATGGAGGTTGAGGAAAAGCCCCCGAGAGGCACCAGGCAGGCTGGCCTGCTGGAGTGTGTGGGCAGTCGGTTCCAGTCCAGGCCCCGGGGGATCTGATTTGGTCTGAAGGCGACATTTAGGAAACCAAAGAACTGGAGGGTGGACGGGCGTGTTAGAGAGGGAGGGTCCGGGGGGGGCGGTACCTGGGCACTGGTGGGGGGCATGCTCTGACCCCAGCGCCTCCAGGGGGAATGAGGGCCGCGGCGGTGCTGGGCTCAGGGAGCCCGAGGCCCGGCCGTCCTTGACGGCGTGAGCTCTGGCCAGCCACTTGGCCATGGCGCCCCGGTTTCTCACATTTGCCGTGGGGGCCTCCTCCCTCCCTGGAGGGTCAAGTGTCAAGCTTGCTGAGAGGTGCCACTGAAAGCACACAGGTGCGAGAGGGACACAAAAACCTTAGTGAGGAATGGGGCTTGCCCTCCAGGTTCCCAGGTGTGAGTGCCCTTCTCTGTCCTGCCCGTGGCACACATGCTCACACACTCGCTCCAGGGGAGCCAGGGTGAGGGTTTGTGGCTGGCGGTTCTGCCGTGGGGACGTCAGGACCGGACGTGCGGTAGCCATCACAGTCACAGTCAGAATAACAGGCTGACAGCTGGGTGCTGACCACATCCTGGCACTGTTCCAGAAGCTTCCGACAAGACCTGCAGTGCTGCACCTGGGGCACTGACCCATGACAGTGCTGTGAGGGAACATGGTGGGTGGGGGCTTGGGGTGGTCTCAGCTTCAGATAGGGTTCACAGAAATCCTCACTGTGGAGGTGACCTCAGAGCTGAGGCCTGAAGGAGGGGAAAGGGGCGACCAGTGGATTCTGGGGGAGAATGTCCCCGGCCAAGAGGTCAGAAGGACAAGGGCTCCGGGTGTGAGGCCCCGCAGGAAGGCCAGTGGGCTGAGGAGGGCCCGAGCGGGCTGTGAGGGAGGCCCAGGTCTGGCTCTTACTCCGGGAGCTGAGGGGGGTAGGGTCTGACAGGGCGGGAGCGCACGCAGCTGCCCAGGAGGGCGGTGGGCGTGGGGAACCAGTGACCTGAGCCCCGGCCTGGTCTGGGGCTGCAGCCGGCTAAAGCCCCCTCCCTCTCTCACCTTGCAGAGGTCCAGGCCCCGTGTGGAACCACTTCGGGAGCTGGGGGGGCCGTGGGGATGGACACCAGCGAGAGCCCCATGCCCGCCAGCACGCTCGGCTCCTCCTGAGCATGCGACCGCCCGTGTGTGTATTTAGAATGGTTAGGGTTTCTCAGATGCCTCTCCGATACTTGAAAGTCCTGGTTCCTGTGTAAAGAGCACTTTGTCCCGCTTCGCAGACCTCCCCGGAGGTCTGGAAAGTTTTATATAGGATGCTTGAGTAGTCCTTGATATTTGTAAAAATTTCCCCCAGAGCTGCATACCAATCTGCCCTCTAATAAAGCATTATTGCCACCTGGTGACCTGCTCGGGGAAGGCCGGTCGTGCCCTGGGACCCGAGCGGGCGCTGTGACGAGATGCTTGTCAATGAATTGTAGCCCGCGCTGCGGCGCAGCACCTGGACCAGACATGGATGTGTATAAACTTGCTGTCTAGCCCCCATCCGGCGTGTCTGTCGTCTCTGCCAACATTTGGTTTCTGCGAGTGTGTTCGAGTGCCTTTGGCCGAGCCCGGCGCTCTGTGCCTTGCTGTCGGGTGTCCGCTCCCCCACCCGTGGCGCCGTGGTGTTTGTATGAAGCTTTACACTTTGCACAAGCATTGTCCCGTCTCCGTTGTGAAATCCCCAGCCTCCCACTGACCTAGTTCAAGGTGAGTGCTTCTTGGCAGGTGTTAATGCTGGTCAATCCGTCCTGCCCTTCGGGAAGACGAGCGGGGTATATTCCCGGCTGCCAGAACCTCAATCCTGGCTTCCAGAGCCGACTGCTGGGTCAGGCCACACCTCAGGGGAGCGCTGACACTGAGGAGGAGCGTGGCCCCAGCCAAGAGCTCTGGGGCCCTGGTCTCCGAGGCCCTGGAGCGGCCCCGCACTGGGGCTGAGAGAGGCCCCGCGGAGGCGTCTGAGCACGAGGTGAAGGCCTGGGGGAGCTGAGATTTCGGCCGAGTTCACAGGCTCCATCCCACCTGGACTCCCGTCCTCCTCTGTTCCTGCTGTGTCCATGGGAGAAGAGCCAGCTGGCGGGTCAGCGTGCAGAACAGTCCAGCATTGACTGGATACAGCTGAGACAGGGCAACACTACCCCACCCTCGGGGCGCTCGCCGTGTGGTGGCCAAGATCCTGCCAGGCTAGTCTCTCCTGCCAACACTGATCCAACCCTTCAGGGGCCCCATTCCTCCCCAGCCCCGTCTGGGTGGGGCCGACAGACGCCCCAGTTCCAGGGTGAGGGCACCGGCCCTGACCCAGCCAGGACTTGCTGCTGGAGGCGGGCTGCAGCTGTGTCTGAGGACGGGCACGGGTACCACATCTGTGCCGTGACTGCCTGACCCAGTCGAGGCCCCTAAACCCGTTTGAGTTGGCCACCTGACAACTTGCAGTCAACTCCTAGTAGCAGCTGTGGGACCTGAGTGACAGGCCCAGGTGGTGCTCTGTCCCCGAGATGGGGCGGTGAGGAAGGAGTGGCCCAGGTCCTGCCCCGCGTGAGAACAGAGCTGTGTGGCCCAGGTGTGAGGGGCTATTTACTGGCTGGGGGTTACAAGGGATTTTTGTTTTGGAATCACATTGGGGCCTCGAGGCTTCAAGTCTGCCCATCACGCAGCTGGCAGTGGCCAGAGGACCAGCACCACAGGCCTCCGTGCAGGGGGAGTGGAGAAGGGACTGGAGCCAGTGGCCAGCAGGGGTGAGAGAGAGGGGACATTCCAGGTGAGTGGTTAAGGACATGGGCTGGGGCACCTCCCCACCGGGGCGTGACCAGGGTGCTTTTGATATTCCAGGCGTCAGTTTCCCTGTGTGCCTGGGTTCCCTGTGACTGCCGTAACAAGTCACCACCAACTTGGTGGCTTAACACAGACTTGTTCTCACGGTTCTGGGGATCAGAAGTGTGATACGGGCCTCACTGGGTTAAAATCCAGGTCTGGGCAGGGCTGGTTCCTTCTGGAAGCTCTGCACAGGGTCCATTTCCATACCTTTTCCAGCCTCTAGAGGTGCCTGCGTTCCTTAGCTCATGGCCCCTTCCTCCATCTTTGAGACCTGCATCGTAGTGTCTTCCCATCTCTTGTGCCTCTTCCTTCCACATAACGACCCCTGTGATGACACTGGGCCCACCTGGCTAACAACCCAGGACAGCCTCCCCATCTCAAGATTCTTAATCACACACAAAGTCCCTTCTGTCACAGGTTGCAGGGACGAAGACGTGGAAACAGGAACATACTCTGCTGAGCCTGGAGGCCCCGGGTCCCTGGAACGTCCTCCCTCAGCTGGGCAGTGGGGACAGTGGGTGTGGACTCCCTCCCCAGGAAAGTACATGAGGTGAAAAGCTTGCCTGGGACATGCGGGCTCCTGGGGGCCGACACCCGCCCGAGGCCAGCATCCACTGGCCCCACGTCCCCGGGAGCTGCGCCCAGGCCCTTCTGCCAGCAGCTCTGCGTCCGCTGACCCTGCCCACCCTGCACAGCCTGAATTCACTACCCGGACACTAGTCAACGTCCTATTTATTCGGGTTCATAATTTAGTCATTACAGAACTGGGTCTTGGCAGCCCAGCGTGTCTCTCTGCTGCTGTCAGCAGCCCCACGGGGCAGCCTCAGGCCCAGCCCCGGCCGCCAGGCCACAGCACGTGGGGACTGGGTGCAGGCCGCAGGCCTGCTCTCCTGCCCAGGGGCCCATGTCTGGACAGCACGTGTCCCTGGCCAACCAGCGCCCCTCCGTGTGCTCACGGGGCTCCGGGCTGGGGCAAGCAGCTCCCAAGGGGGCTGGGACGAGGGAGTGGAGGGGGACGCAGGAGCAGAGCACGAGACAGACCCACGGGGCCGAAGCCAACCCTGCTTTTATTTCACGAGAGCTTCTCGATGGCCGACAGGAGCTCAGGCTTCAGGATAGCTGAGTTGGGCTCGGCCCCCGCGGCCCTGATGTCCTCCAGCACGGCCAAGTCCCATGAGAAGGTCAGGAGGGCTGAGGGCACCTGCGGCGGGCAAGAAGCCTCAGCCTCACTCTGGCCTCTAAGTGACAGAGCCCACGTCTCCACGGTCAGTCCTTCGGAACCAATCGGAGCTGGGCTGTGCTCGCCCAGGCCGTTCCCGCAGCAGGGGCCCCTCTGACGACCAGCTGGGCTCAGACACCCCGGCCTGGCTGAAGCCGTGCCAGCTTGCAGGCCTCCTTCCTGCCTCGTGTCCCCGCGCCAGGGTCGGAGCGCGCTCCTGCCCGCTCTGCTGCTCCCCAGTGAGCCCGATTTCCACTCCCGACTTGGTTCTGCTCCTTGGAGGACTCCAACTAACACGCGCTATGTCCCCATTTTATAGGTGGGACACAGGCACAGGGACATTACTCACTGGAGGTCACCCTGCGAGTCAGTGCACGGGGGGGCCTTAAACCCGGGAGCCTGGCCCCCGGTACTGGAGAGCACCGCCCTCGTCGGGAGATGGCGCCGATTCAACGAGAACCCAGAGGGCCCGGAGCCCCTCCGCCACTCACCAGCCCGCACTCGTTGAAGGCCGGGTTCTCGTCCTCCGACAGCTTCTGCCCGCCGGTGGCCAGCAGCTCGAAAGGCAGCCAGTCGCTCTGCAAGGCCTCCCGGACGAAGCCGTACAGCGCCGCCACCCGCTCCCGGGCGTAGAAGGTCCCTGCGGGGCCAGACAGACAGTGGGCCTGGAGCTCGTGGGAGCCCCCCGGCCCCCTGAGCCGTCACCGTCCTAAGACGGAGCTGCGTGCCGCCTCCCGCCCCTGCCGGGGGGCACGGCAAACCCGCAGCAGCAGCTCACCCCGCACCCAGCTCGGCTCCACCAACAGACGCGGCTCCTGGGCCTCGGCTCGGGACCCTCCCCCACAGCCCTGGCCCTGCCGGCCCCCCGCAGCGGCACCCACCCTGGAGGAGGCAGCCGTCGGGGAGGCGCACGCGCAGCAGCGTGTAGGTGTATCTGCGCAGCTCCCTCTGCTCCTCCTTCTCCCGCATGGCCTTGGTCCGCAGCACGCTCAGCCGCTCCACGGCCTCGGACCGCAGCCGCTGCTCGCGCTTGACCTCCTCGGCCGTGAGGCTGAAGAAGTCGCGGGGCAGGTCGAACTGGGAGGCCAGGGGCGACGGCCGGAAGACGCGGCGCTGGCGGGCCAGCGTGGCCCGCACGGGCTGGGCGCTCAGCAGCTGCTCCTTGTGGCGCTCCAGGCTCTGCGGCTGGGCCAGGGCGGCCGCGCTCAGCACGTAGAACTCCTCGGGGCCCTCTGCGGCGGGCACGGGCGTCACTCCACCCCGGAGCGGCCCCGCACCCCGCTCCCGGCGCCGCCAGGGCCCCTCCACCCCTCTTACCCTGATCGGGAACCGGCAGCAGCACCTTCTGGAAGCCGATGGCCTCAAAAAACTCGTGGGTCCCTTCCAGGCAGTTAATGCGCTCCTGGGAGCGGAGCGGGGGTCAGCAGGGCCCTGGGACCGCCTCGAGCCCCGCCGGCCTGGCTGCCCAGCCCGCCCCACCCGGCCCAGGGTCCCCACTCTCCGCCCGGAGTCCCCCGCTCTCGGAGTGCCTGCTGACCCCTGGACGGGACGAAGCCCCAAAGCGGTCTGCAGAGCTGAGCAGTAACGCGCTTGTCTAAGGAGAGGCTGCGGGCTTCCCAGCAGCCACTCACAGAGGGCGTGGGACCCCAGAGGGTCACCCACGGGGTGAGGAAGGGGGCTGAAGAACCAGAGGACAGTGGGGGTGGGGGTGGGGGTCCCAAAGTGGGAGGGTGGGCTGCGTGTGATGGTGGGGGGGTCCAGTGGGTGCCCCGCCAGCTACACGGGTAACAGGGGCCGGGATGGTGGGACCCTGCGATTTCTCCATGGAAACCAGAAGCCTGGACTCGTGTGAAAACTCCCCAGTGCTGATATGTCCCAACTAATTCAAAGTCACCCTACGCCGGAGGTGGGAGAGCAGACAAAATACACGCAGCGTGTGACCTGCGTTCACAAAGCCCTCCCTCCCCGCCTGCCACCTTGTGCCGCCTCAACCCTTGCCCTGGAGGGGCCCTCCCGCGGCCCGGCTCCGGCCGCCGCTGGCCGTGTGCAGGCCAGACGGGGTCCCGTGTGACGGCGCGGGCCCGCCCGCGGGCCTCACCTGGAACACCTTGTTCTGCAGCTTGATCTTCCGGTACCTCTCCTCCTCGGGGTGCAGGTGGATGTTGTCGAGGTACCTGCGGCGGAATCGGGGGCGGAGGATGGGCCCGGATCGGCTGCCTGCTCCTCTGCACCTCCCGCCCCCAGGGGGACAGCGGCTCAGAGCCACAGCCGGCCTCGCGGTAAGGGGAGAAGCGGCACGGTGACCGCAAGGGGGCTGCCGTCGCACCTCAGACACCCCACGGAACCCAAGCCCCGATGCCAACAGCCTGGGCCAGCGCGGGACGCCACTGCCCACCAGGAAGCCTGCCGCCGTGCTTCCTCCTCGGTCCTGCCCCCCCTTGAGGGCACCAACGAACCCCAGTAGTGGGGTGAAGCGGACAGAGCCAGAATAACGGGCCACCGGAGCCAGTGGGTCCCCGGTGGGGCTCCTGAGCAACGCGGACTTCTGGGCCCCCCAGCACCTGCTGAGTCAGGAGTGTGGGGCTGGACGCTGCCTCCTTCACATTCCCTGATGATCCCTCAGGGGAGCCAGTGCTGGGAACCCCGATCCCGTGAACCCCTTCATTTTACAAGACAGCTCAAGTGAGGCCCAGAGAGGCCAAGCCCCTGCCCCGTGGGCTCAGGGCAGGGAAGGGTGGGGCCCGGCCTCCCTCGCAGCGCCCTGTCCCTTCCGGGCCCCCGCAGGGCTCGATGGAGGCCACGGGGCTGGCACTCACTTGGCGATGGTGTCCACGCCCAGCTTGACCTTGTCCCGGTCCTTGTTGAACGTGTGGATCTTCATGATGGAGGCGGCCACCGGGTCGGTGGCAAAGTGCTGGGGGAGGGAGGAAAGCACAGCGAAAAGCGCTCGCCTCGGGGCCTGGAGGCCACCACGCAGGGGCAGCAGTCGTAACGGGAACGACTGTCTCAGGCAGGCCAGTAGCGCTCAACCAAGCAAACTCAACTGCACGCTCGGCAGAAAGAGAGGAGGAAGGCCCTTTCGACGACCCCACGCTGGGCCTCAGCCCTGCTCTCACCCCAGAGAAGGGGACGGCGGCAGCCCAGGGGAGGCCACCTCGGGGCTCCGTCCGACACGGATCTCTGCCGGCCAGTTTGCAGTGTGGGTGCTGGGGTGGGACAGGAGGGCACGGACACGGGGGCAGAGAGCACAGGTCCCCAGAGAAGGAGAGAGGCAGAGAAGTGGCAGCGAGATGGGGGCATCCTCAGGACACGCCCGAGCCAGGCCCAGCTCGGACGACCCCACAGCTTCCTCGGGACCACAACCAACCCCCAGGGAAGAGCTGCTGCTCTCAGATGTTTCCAGGCAACTCGCAGCCACGTTTAAATCAGGACCAGGGCATAGGAGCAGACAAGGGACAAAGGAACAGAACGTCCAGAAAGGAACCAAATCCACATAGGGATTTACCCTGTGAGAAGGGGAGATGTCACAGCTGTGGCCAGAAGAGAGGTGTTTTCAATAAAAGGCAAAAAAAGTGCGGGGGGGGAAAAGTGGGTAGCTATCCGGAAAAAAAATAACACTGGTCCATGCTTCATACTCTACACAGGAGTCACTTCTAGTTGGATCAAAGCTTTAAACATTAAACAACAAAAAGCAAAACAGAAAAGCGCTAGAAAAACCACGGAAGAATGATTGTAATACCAAGTGGGGAGGCCTTTCTAAGTATGACACAAAGCCCAAAAGCCATAAAATAAGACCAACACCTTAATTATACAGAGATCAAAAATTTCTATGTGGCAAAGTGACCCTGAGAAGAGTCGAAAATTAACCAACTGGGGAAAATTTGCAACTTATATCATAGGCAAAAGGCTAATTTCCCTAATATGTAAAGAGTGCCTACAAATCAATAAAGACCAATTGCCCAATAGAAAAACGGCCACAGAATACATTCTTATATAAAAACATGGCCAACCTAACACAAAATAAGAAAAATGCAAATTAAAACTACCCTATTCTTTTCACCTTCGATTTGGGTAAAGTTTGTTAACCCACAGTGACGGTGAAGGGATGGGGAAATGGGGGCTCTCCCACACACTGCTGGCAGGAGTGTGAACGGAGATGACCCTATGGAGGTTCACCTGGTTACAACTATCTGAATCCCCACGCACGTGGCCTTTGTCCCAGCAACCCCAATTCTGGACCTGAGCCTACAGGTCAAAGTGATGTACAGACGAGGTTTTTCATCACGTAATTGTTCTCACTCGTCAAGCAGGGGCTGGTTAAATAGTTATGGAACGATTTATGGTAGAGAGTTAAGCAGTTGCTAACGAGAATGCAGAACTTTCTCTCAAATGGTTCAGAAAAAAAGAAAGAGGGGTGCCAGGGCAAATGGGGCAAAAATGTTAACACCCAGCAAATTTGGGTACGGTTGGCAGAATAACTGAGATATCCACGTCCTGGAACCTGTGAACGCGCTGACTTACCCAGCAAGGAGGGGAGAAGGGAGCAGCTAGAATTAAGGCTGCGGACCAGCAGACTTAGAATGGGAGAGGAGCCTCGAGGAGCCCACGGTAAGCATACGGGCCCTTAAAAGGGGGACAGACAGGACCAGAGACATGGCAGCCTGAGGACGGCTCGGCCTGGCGTCGCCAGCTGTGAGGATGGAGGGAGGCGCCACGAGCCGAGGAACACGGGCGGCCTGGACGCTGGGAAGGGCCAGGAAACGGACTCGCCCTGGAGCCTCCAGAGGGAACCAGCCCTGCTGCCGGCCTGACTGCAGCCCCGTGACGCCTGTGTGGCTTCTGCCCTCCAGAACTCTAAGAACAGGCGTGTGCTGTTTGAAGCCTCAGACTGTAGAGTGATTTGTTATAACGATAACGAGAACCTCAGTCTCTGGGTAAAGGACGTGCAGCTGTTCTTTCTGGTTTTGCTACTTTCCTTGAAGTTTGAGATTATTTTCAAATACAAAGTGTTAAGGAAAAAATTACCTCGCGGTTCTGTCTGTACTGACGCAACAGCTGGCGGTGTCTGTGTCGGGCGTGAGCGGAACGTTAGCCCTCACGTACAACAGAGAGAGCAGCGAGGGGAGACGCCTCTGGAACGTCTCTGACCAGGAGCGAAACCACTTGGAGCCGGGGCCTCGGGAGGCGCTTTCCCCGCCTCCCTTTGCCTTTTGGATTCTGTACCAGTGTGACTATCACCTCTAGAGAGCTTAACACAGAAACACTGCAGCAGGTGGGGACATCAGGAGGATCTGTCACCGGGCCTCCTGGAGGCGGCTCCAGCCCCTGACCCTTGGAGGTGGGGGTGGGGGCGCTCACCGAGAGAATGGCCTCCTTGATGCGGGCGTCCCGCTGGTCCTTCCTCAGGGTGGCCCCCGTGAGCGGGCAGGTGAAGAACACTCCGGGTGCCGCCACGTGGGGCGAGCCTTCCTCTCTGGGCTCCGGCGCCTGGGGACGGGGTGAAGGGTCTGAGCCGGGACTGGACAGAGGCCACCCTGAGCCACAGCCCTGGGAGCCACACATCCCCAGTCCCAACGCTGTCCCTCTGCTTATTGGTGGGACACCCTGGCCCAGCGACCAAGCCCCTCGAGCCTGGTTTCTGGCCCGTAAGCTGTCTCTGCCAGGACCACCTCGGAATTCAACAAGGAACAGAGTGCACAGCAGCCTCAGACACGGGGTGAGCGCTCCGTCAGTGGCTCCTGCTGTTCCCGTCCCTCCGGTGAGGAAGGGGCGCTGGGGGAGTCAGGAGTCACGGTGCCCTGAACAGTCCCAGCCTCTCGCAGGGCCGCAGTTCCTGGGCAATCTCTAGGGTCTCTTCCATTCTAAGATTCAGTGAGACCTTGAGGGTGGAGCTGCTCGGAACACCCTTCTGCCCAGGTCGCCTTTGAAGCCCACCTCCTCGAGGAAGGCCTCTCTGATTACACCAGTCTCTGAGGACCCCTCCTACATCCCAGGAAGGCAGGAGAGGGCAGTACTGAGAGTACAGGCTTTGGAGGTGGACAGACTGGGGTTCCAGTCCCGCCCTCGCCGGATGCTAGGTGACTGACCGAGGACAGCTGGCTTCACCTCTCTGAACCTCAGTCTCCTCTTCTGACAAGTGGGAACTATGACAGCACCCACCCTCACAGGGTTACAGGAGGAACAAACGAGCTGATGGGGTCCAGGCTCACCCTCAGCACCCAGGCCTGGCATCATCAGGTGCCGAGTGTGAAGGTCCCAGTCAGCACCGCACTCAACCTGCCTCCACCGTTCAAGGCGGGGCTCCCCAGCCTGCCTTCACACCCCCAGGCCAGAGGGGTCCTCTACCCACCCTGACGTCTCCTCTGTGTCCCCGCAGCCCCCCAGCACCAGGTGCTTACAGCCCAGGGCTGGCCTTGGCTGGTGATGAGGAGATGGCTAATTAGACCAACGCAGGCGAGAACCGGGGGGCCCTCTGCAGGCTCCCAGCCCCCTGCCCCAGGCCACCCTTCGGGGGTCAGGAGGGTCAGGCTAGCATGCGGACGCTTTACCACATTGGTCCCCGGGGCCTCGGTGCTCCCGCTGACGGTCGCTTCAGCTCGAAGCTCCTTTCTCACTGGAGGGAAGGCAGAGAAGGGTCAGTGTGGGCCCTGCCCTGTCCCCAGGGCTGACCCCGAGCCCCGTCAGCCCCCGACTCGGCCTGAGAGCCAGGCCCGCCCCTCCCCGGACCCTCGTGTGGGTCCAATCCTCCCTCCAGCTCGAGGTCTGTGCCGCCCTCCGCCTGAGCCACCGCTCCAGGCCCCAGGCTTCGCCTGATGACGACCTCCACCCCAGCTCCTGCCTCCCCTCCCTCAACCTCCCTGAACCCGCGCTGCCCAGACCCCCTCAGACCCCTGGTGCCTTTTCACCCTGCATTCCACCCCCTCACGTGTGATTTTAAAGCCCCCAAAGTCGCTGGCGTGTAATTATCTTCCTCCAGGGCCCCGCACGGGGCCTGGGACCTGTGACCAGTGTGGACCGGCCCCGAGGACAGGGGGGCGTGAAGGTGGCGTGCAGAGGCCTGGCTCCGCCCCGCCCCCCACGGCCCGAGGCTGGCCGCGGCTCACCCTGGTTCCGGATGGAGTCCTGCGACGAGGGGCCCCGGGCCCGGGGCTGCTTCTGCTCGAGCCGGGCCAGCGCCGCGGCGGCCGCCATCTGTGCCTCATCCGTGGGGCCCTGGCGGGGCGGCCGGTGCGCCGGCTGGTTGGGTCTTTCTTTGGGGGCCTTCTCCCTGGGGAGACACAGAAGGAAGTGTGGTGACACAGGGTCAGACGGAGGAGCTTCTGTCCCTCTCCCACTTCTGTTCCCTCCCATCAGTCAGACACATCCCTCTTTCCCCGGGGCCGCCCACGGCCACCAGCCGGTGCTAACACAGAAGGAAGAGCCCCCGGAGGCAGAGGGTGGCTCTGCTCCTGGCTCTGCCCGTTTGGGCGAGTCCTGCACGGGCCTGGGCCTCAGGGTCGTCACCTGTTAAGTGGGGATAACAGTGCCCCCCACGAGGGGGCCGTCACGGTGGAGCAGGGTGAAGTCACCCTAACGTCTCTAGGAACCCACGAGACTCAGAGGCGTCCTCCCTCTCCTCGCTCCCTGCCCTAGAGCCTCCGCCCTTACTGTCTGCCTGCACCCAGCCGGCGCAGCTTCATTTATTGAGCGCCTACTGTGTGCCGGGCAGCGTGCTGGGAGCATACCAACAGTCCCACCAACAGTCCTCTGCCAGGGGTCTCAAGACGCCCTCTCACAAGCCCCAGAGGGTCGCCAAGGCCCAGGCAGCGTGCCGGGTCACAGGCAGGCCTCGGGTTACCCAGACCCCGTTCACTCGCGCCTCCACCCGGGAAACAGGCACTGCGATCACCCCACGTGATGGATGGATGGATGGAGGCCTCCCTAACCCACACAGCACGGAACGTCCCAGCAGACAGGGCCTTCCTCCCACCCTGGTCTGACTCCCCTGCCTTGCCCGCCCCCCCAGGACCCTCTCCCAACCCCAGGAGTTGGAATCATCTGTGCTATGTCTCTAGAACCTTCTCAGAAGCCAGCCTCTCAGTTCATGGCCCTCCTGCCTGCCGCTCCGCTCAGATAGACGAGCAGATCTTTTTTCTTGTCCCAAGACCCCTGGGACCTGCTTCCTGCCGATCCCTGCCCCTCTCTCCTGCCCTCCCCACAGCTGAGAACCTGGGCGGGGGTGAGGAGAGGACGGGCCCGTAGACCTGCCCTAGCCCCATGGGATACCTAGATCTTTCTATAAAAATCTCACCCATCCCCTTCCTGGCTCCGCTGGGGGGCCAGAGGGATCCTTCTAAAACCTAAGCCAGGGGGCGGGCCCCGTGTCATAGTGGTTAGGTTCGCGCTCCACTTCAGCACGCGGGGTTCGCTGGTTTGGATCCCGGGCGTGCACTGACGCACCGCTTGTCAGGCCATGCTGTGGCGGCGTCCCATATAAAGTGGAGGAAGATGGGCACAGATGTTAGCCCAGGGACGGTCTTCCTCAGCAAAAAGAGGAGGATTGGCATTGGATGTTAGCTCAGGGCTAATCTTCCTCACAAAAAAATAAAACCTAAGCCAGCGCACGTCCCTCCTCCACATGCCCTCCCCTCACACGCACCACAGAATCCTAACGCCTCCCTCGGCCCCAGGCAGGCCTTCCACCACCTGCCCCTTTCCCTCGTTCGCTCCTCTCTACCCACACTGGTCCCTGCGGTGCCCACACAGGCTCTGCACTTTCTGTGCCTTCTGCCGGAACGTTCCGCCTGGGCGGGGGACCAGGAAGGGAGGTCTGGGAGGGGCTGGGGCTGCTTGGGGTGTGTGTGTGTGTGTGTGAGAAAGGGGCTGAGTCTCCCCTCGCCCAGCTCTAGGCTCAACTGTCGCCTCTGCAGAGACCACCCAGGGGCCCAAGACCACTCACTATCCGCCTGCTCGTTCTTCCCAGTGGCCCTGAACACGGCCTGCTCCCTCATCACACAGGTGCTGGTTTGTCTGCCCCCCACCCCCGCTAGAAGGGGAGCCCTGGGGGAGCAGGGATGTGGTCTCCTTCACGCTCTAAAAGTGCGGGACACCCCCTCCCACACACCCCGAGTCCCGTCCTGCTCCACGCCCTCACACAAGCTGGGTCTCCACACCACTCCCCTCCCCTCCCATCCCGGCCTCCAGTCTGACACCCCATCACCCCCACCGCCCCCACCTCTTCCTGTCACACGCAGTCCCAGCCGCCCAGGGCCCCACCCCACCCACTACTTGTTGAACAAATGAAGGGACCCCCTCGTCTGGCCCACCGCTCTCCCAGACCCCCTCTTAGGCTGCCCTCGCCTCCCCCCTCAGGCTCTCAGGACCTGATTCTCCCTTACTCACGGACCTGGCCCTCATGGGCCTCCTTTGGCCCACTTGGTGCTCCCCTCTCAAGAACCCCAGGAAGCCCCCATCCTCATGACGGATGCCCTGATGCCCCCGCCCTGCACCCACTCTCGCTCACAACCCCCTTCTGCCCGCCTCCCTGCCTCGCCTCCTACCCCCTGGTAGCCCCCCTCTTCACAATCCCTTCCATTGTTCCTCACAGCCCTCTCCAGGCTGACATCTCCCCGAAGTCATCACTCCCCATCCTAGACCCCCGCCAGTCCCCACAGCCCCCTCTGGGGCTCCCTGCAGCAGCCCCAGCCCTCCCAGCCTCCCTCTACTCAGCCCACCCCCAGGGGAGCTTTCTTCTCAGCCCACCAGCCTCAGCCTGGCATCCTCACCTGCTGCGCCTCTTCCCCATCCTCTGCACCGCACTGGCCCTCCACACACCTCCCCACCGCTCTCCACCTCAGGTCCTCCCCAGACAAGCCACCTGCCCTCCCAGGTCTCCCTCAGAGCCTCCAGGCCACTCAACCATCACCCACAAGGCCCCGTCCCCTTCCCTTCCTACAGTCCCCCAGCTCCCTGCCCCCATTCTCCTCCCAGACCTTCCTCAGCCCTTCACAGGCCCCCACTTCACTCAAACCTCCCAAGCCCCTGACGCCCCATCCAACAACGCCCCAGGACCCCCGCCTTCCAGGCTCTCCCCACCCCTCCCTCTGGCTCCAGTACCAGGGCCCAGACCCCCATGGCCACGGACGCTAAGCCTCCGGACTCTGCGACTGCAGCTGGACTCGCTTCCCCACGTCCAATCTCTGGTCACCCAGATTCACCCAAATCTCCCCTCCCCAGGCCACTCCCTGACGGCCCCCAGCACCCTGAGGTCTCTCCATTGACCCTTCACTCCTTGCAGCCCGGTCCCCCTCCCGCCACATCCCCACCAGGCCCCGCCCCTGACGCCTCACCCCTCCCCCTTTCCACCCCCC